ATAAAACACTCCACGTGAATGTGCCTTGTGATATGCCCCTGAAGGCAGCATTGATACGACAATGAACGACAATGATAACATACTGGATCCAGATTCTGGAGGTCTTTCTCACCCTAGGTGTGCTAAATGCTGAAAATAATTGTCCCCCATAATATTGTCCCATAAATATGGTTACCCTCCTTATACCTTAAAACTTTCTTGCTCCAGCATGTTGCCTCTCTCTCTTTTTCAGCCTGCCTTTTACAACTTCAGACATTACTTTCAAAACTAAACCTAGCGCCTACACAACGGCAGGGTTTCTAGTTAGCTCCAATTCACTGCCAGAAAAACACACTTTCTACTAGCACTGTGAATGTTAAATCCCTCCTCCCCTCTACTCCCAAACGTATCCCTCTATATTTTTCAAAAGTTACTACAGACTACATTACTTCACCAGGTATAACGTCACAAAATGTAGTTTCATGTATTGTGTCTACCTGCTTTTTTTACCAATGACTGAATAAATTGCTACATGTGCTAGCTAGGTCACTATAGCTGTCAAATATAAACTGGACAGCATGGCGCCAAACGTGTCCAACTTTTTACTGCCTCAAAAAAGCCACTTGTCTTACCTTGCAAAGGTTAGTCTTGCAGTCGAAGGACCAAAAGATGCAGACGGACAAAACATGCACGGACTGTGGAGCAATGAAGCCAGTGTGTTTGTTTTCAAAAAGCATATCCAAACGCAGAGAACGATCTTAAAACTGTTTAACCATCTTATCTGTAGAATCTTGATATTTGTAATGTTCCTGCTTGATATTGTTTAAGTAACACCTATATGAAATAATAACATTAGGAGGGTACAAATGACATATGTCCCTATCACGAATTTAATTTGATGTGGGACTACTTTGTGAAGCGGAGGGGTGCACTGAGGATTGCCTATTTCTGCTGGTGTTTTTTGTGCACTTCAGGTCTCTTCTTCACAAAGAATCATTGTAGTCTTCAGAGTTATATTAAACATACCTTACGTATTTGTTATTAGTTTTTAGTTTTAGTTTTTTTTTTATTTTTGTTTTCAATTCAGTTTGATTTCAGTTAGTGGGTTTGCCTGTTTTATTTCAGTTTACATTGTTTGAAAATATTGTATAGGATGAACTATCTCCCACTCTCTCTCCATGTTCCTCTCCCCTCTCTTCCTCATCTCTCTATCTGTCTGTCTGTCTTTGTGTTTCTATTGTAATACTTTTCTGAATTTCTTAAATGTAAAGTCCCTGAAATACCTGCCAAAAAACAACAAAAATTAATACTCAATAAAAAACTAACATTTTTATATTCTATAGGCTTTCTGTATTTGTTTGATTAGCCTACCAGCTCTACTTCATAAAAAAAGTGAAGTTTTTTTTCATTATTATTATTTTGCACTGGCCTGCACACCCTAAAAATATTAAAATGTAAAGTACTTTAAGTAATTTATTAACAGCTATATATTCCTAACGACTGTGCATTTTGAATAAAGATCATTTCCAACTGTTCCGGTTGTGATGTGTGCTGCAATTGGGTCCTACCACCGCTCGTTACATATATATATAGCCCATATAGACAGCCCACATGGGCTTCTCATGTGGTACCCATGTTACTAAAACCATATGGGCCCCAAATAGTGTTATCCATTTCCAGCCCATGCCCACTTAGACTGCATAGACCCATTATGGGGTGCATGTAGTCAACCCACATGGGCGTCCCAAGTGTGGCCCATATTACTAAAACCATTTGGGTCTCACATAGTGTTGTCCAATTCCAGCCCATGCCCACTTAGCCCGCATACACCCATTATGGGGCCCATATAGCCCATGTTACTAAAAACTATATGGGTCCCAGATTGTGTTCCCACTTAAAAACCCATGCCCTCTTAGCCCACATATTTCACTTATGGGCCCCACATAGTTAGCCCACATGAGCTTGCCATGTGAGGCCCATGTTACTGACCCCATATGGGACCTACAGAATTTGCCCAGTTGAAGCCTATGCCCACTCGATACCCACATAGCCCACATTTAACCCATATGGGGCCCACATGGACATGTTGGCTGGGAGTGTGACTTGGTGACGGATGGTCTCTGCGAATCACTCATCCTATTCTGGCTCAGAGATTTGGTTGCATATGGTTGTAACCCTGAGTTCATAACCTTAACCCCCATCACCTGTTTAGCTTTTAGCCTTGTCCTGTCAAGAGAGATCAGGCTGTTCTGAAGATTTAAGAGTTCTTATCTTGGTCCATAACAGTGGAGAGCTGAAGCATTTCTCTTCTCTCACAGACACATTGTTCTACCACCATTATGCATCAGGGTTGGTCTTTAATCATACATGCCAACAAGAAGTTAAAGTGTCTGACTAAATGAAAGAAACTATTGCAGTTGTTATTCCTGCTGCAGGGCAGAGATGTGTTGTGTTGTTTAATGTTTGTGTGAACCCTCAAGCCAGTGTCTGACTATTTTAAGACAGCATAATTTTCCAAATATTAGTGGCACTTTTTGATTTGATGCAAAACAAGCCTCTCTTTCTTTATTTGGGCTAAATGGTTGGCCAAAAACTTGTTATTGTAGTTGCTGCAGGAGAAGAAAGTTTTGGCCTCCTACCCCCATTTCACCTACAATGCTCCTCCAAGTGTGCATTAGTTATTTATAGCAGCAGTGAGGAAGCCTTTGAAGGATAGCTCTCACCGATCTATGATGGTATGTGTTTTAGAAATGCGTCCATCCACATGGCACTCGCAGTCTGTGTGTGTGTGTGTGCAGCAGCTGGTGAAAACCAAGCAGTTAACTTGGCAGCTTCAGGCAAAAAATAACAGAGTTGCATTGATACACTGCACATCGTATCATAGCAGTGACTAAATAACATCTCAACACATTACAGCTCCAAAAATCATCACAGTGTATGTATACCATAGTAATAATGTTTGTATTATGTTTTTTGGATAAAAGCTACACGTGAACAGACCACCAGAGTATATCAGTGACATTTTTATGACAGGTGAAGAAGAAATTGAAGTTATTAGCCTGTCAATGATCACAGTAGATTTGATAACTGAATTAAAAAGAGGCATTTTGACAAGACGCTCCTTTGCTGCACATTAGTTTAATCAAATTACAGTCACAAAAAACAAATTGAATGCTTATACATTTCATGGTATCTGCTTTTGTAGAAACTCTTATTAAACATGTTAATATTTATTGCCAGTATTTGATTGTTAAAAGCAAATGTTCAGTGGGAAAACTTACTAAGTCTCTTGAAAATATAACAGCATTTGAGAAGTCTGTCACGGTAAACTATATGGCTCTTAAATGTGTATATGTGTAAATGTATATACAAACTGGAGTCTCACATATTCTCACATATTCAAATGGCCGTAAGACAAACAAGTGTAATATGTTTTTGCTTTTCTTTTTACATCTTTTCCATTCACCTCACAGTCTTAGTTTAAATAAATTACTTGTAAACAACAAATTCTCAATTAATCTGCATCTTCATCACTCATAAATACAGAAATTAACTCATGTCAAAACTACTGAGCATGTGCAAAAAATTAAAAGTCAACATTTGACAAAATGCAAAGGCAGATTTGTGAACTTTTTAAAGTTGCATCCATCACAAGCAAAGGGCAAAACCTAGTATATGTCTGGATCGCCTATGATCAAATCCTGATTTTATAACCACATCGTCTGACTAAATCACTAAACAAATAAATTGAAGGCAAATACTGAGCTGTGATTTCAGTTGAATGTACTGTAAAATGATCACTTACATGGGAAAGTTGGAAGAGACAGACAATATTTTCTTATCTTATTTTTTCAGGCTTTTGCCTTTATTACAGTCAAATCAAGAGAGAGATGGGAAAATGGGGATAACATGCAGCAAAGGCCATAGGCTGGACTCAAACCCACTGGCGCATCGCGTGGTGGCTGACGTCACTGAGCTGCTACAGAGAAGCACGTGAGTGTGTTCACACCATTTATGCAGTGGTCTGCTACTGCAGCTCTATCTCTCTACATAGTATGCAGAGTATGCAGATTACTTGAATGTTGGATGTCATTTCATTATAAATTAATTTCTGATTTAATTTTGACAGAAAACCATTAAAATGCCACTGTATCCACATAAAACTGCTAAAATGGTTAAAAAAATGTTTTCATGTCTGTCATATTCAGATGCAGACTGGACATTGAAACTATAGTGGAAGGTGTCAGTTTTAAGAAATGTTGCTGTTATGATGTCAGTATGACATCAATAGGTCTTTTCTCTGTCTATTTTTGCTAGGAGATGCATTATAGAGCTTCTCTCTCTGCTTGGTGTGTCTTATGTTTAGTTATTCCTCTGCCTCCTTTGGTAATAATGATACATGTAATGAAAGTAGTTTGAGTGTTGTAATGGAGGCAAGGCTCAGTTTATTGGAAGCGCTCCTCCGCTTACCTGCAGTTCCCAAGCAGCAAACCAGAGCAGCTCGGTAGACTGCCCATAGCAGAAGGTGTAGCCCTAAGCCCCTGGTTGGTATCCATAAACAATCCAGGTATGAACCAGGTTTATACCCAGTCTCTAAATCTAGAGACTATGAGCCAAGTTGGCATTACTGCAGCTGTTCACACCCCCCTAATAGAACATGTTTGCACCAGAAACTACAACTCAGTGATGAGGCACTCAGCTGACCAGTGGTGGAAAAATGATCAGTCAATCAGTGATTAGTCAGTCAGTTAATCAGTGACATTCCAGACTAAGGGGTTGACCCTGCTGTTGCCATCCAGCCAAAAACATACCATGAGCATTCCAAGCTTACGGAAAAGTCCCTCTGTGCGCCCAAATCTTGCATTGCAAATTGATCACAGCTGTAATCTTTTTTGTTTGAACTCGGTAATTTTGTCCCAACTCAGTAGTTTTGTCCCTAACAGTTTTCCATACTCATGCAAATAATTTTACAGGCTAAAGCATGTTGTTCCTGAGTCTTGGATAGAAACACAGAAGGTTCCTTAGATCTTCAAGTCATCCAGTCTACTCTTGTTGTTGCTGTGCTTGCTTGACTGACTGTTTCTGCGCTGATTTTCAATGGGCATCTCAAAGACAGGACTGGAGGTTAACCTCTCCTTCACAACATCTCCCTCTGATTTACCTTTCCTCTCCACAGCCATATTGTCTCTGTTTTGCTTATAAACCACTTTGCTGTTGTAGGGGCTGTAAGCAGAGTTTGGCTCTGTCATACCATACTTTGAGTCTGTAAGGAAAGGCTCAGGAACTGCAGGATGACCAGCAAAGTAGTTGTAGCTCGGCACAAAGGGCATAACTGCCTCAGTTAAGTGCTTGGGGGCCTGACTTGCAGCCTGTGATCGTCTGTAGCGGAGCCCCTGGTGGCACTTTGTGAAACCTAAATGGTACATTTCCACCAGGTTGAGCAGCAATGAGATGCAGGCTACCACCAGCATGAAGAGGATGAAGACTGTCTTCTCAGTGGGTCGGGAGATGTAGCAGTTAACCATGTTTGGGCAAGGCCAGCGGTCACAGGTGTACATTGGCTTGAGCTCAAAGCCATATAGGAAGTACTGAGCTACAATAAAGGCGACTTCAAACAGGGTCTTGAAAATAATGTTTAAGACATAGGTTCGCAGCAGTGCGCCCTGCAAACGTACGTGGCCCTGGTTGTCTTTAACTGGAGCCCTCTTGGTCTTGTTGCCAAGTAACTGCTGCTGCTTTTCATTCTGGATGGTGAGGTCCTTCTCTTTTTGCTTCTCCTTTTCCTCCATGCGGACCAGATGAAGAATGTGGCCCAAATAAATAAGAGTTGGTGTAGAGACAAAGATAATTTGCATCACCCAGAAGCGGATGTGAGAAATGGGGAAGGTTTTGTCATAGCAGACGTTCTGACAACCAGGCTGCTTAGTATCACAGGTGAACCCGGACTGCTCGTCACCCCACACCTTCTCAGCTGCAGTTCCCAGCACCAGGATGCGAAAGATGAAGAGCACTGTCAGCCAGACTTTGCCCACAACAGTAGAGTGCTCCTGGGCACTCTCCAGCAGCTTCCCCAACAAGTTCCAGTCCCCCATACTGGCTCACAGATGCAGACTCAGTTTTATAAACAAAACCAGGAGATACGTCTGTAAGGACAAGGAAATATGTACAGGATTATTGAAAGTTTCATCACTCTCAATATGTTCCAAAACTGTACAACAGTGGAAAATAAAGTTTTTTTTTGCTGAAATCAGCTGCCTGCTGCTAACAAAGCAGAAAATGGTGGGAAAGAATCAAAACAATAAAGCTGTTGGCTGTAAAACCAAAACAGTGAGCTGAAAGAAGCTAAAAAAAAGCTCCATAGTGCCGAGGGGAACTGTAGAGCTGGATCGTAATTTTATGTTGGTTTGTTTCCTTGCACATTATCATTTGACCTATTGTTATTTTAAAAAAAAAATTGATTACAATGGCTCTAAACAACAAGTTTAGAAGCAAGGGGTCACAGCAGGATCTAAATAAGCCTGATACCCAATATGGTATCTTGTGCATTTTTATACAACAGTTAGTTCTGACCAAGTAATTTGATTGGACGAGAGGCATTCCATGAGTGCTGATATACAGTGTAACAGCACTGGGACTTTTAACAGCATGTATCTCTTCACTTTACAGGTGTTCTATTAACCGTTAATTAGCGTTACATTAACAGTATCTATCTTAGATTGTAACAAACTTTGCAAAGATGAATATATTTCCTGAATTAACATTTGAATTAAATGATGTATGGTTGTCAGAAGAAGATAAAGGGAAGGAGCCAGGATACTTCAGCGCACATCTAAGGTAATGTGTAGACAATGTAGCAAGCAAGTGTGCACTGTGTAGATCAAGAAAATGTTTTGTGTTGCTTAGCAACATCAGGAAGACTGTGATTTGGTATAGGGGACGAGGCCTCGTACCCTAGACCAAATCACAGTCTTCCTGATATTCAGTACAACATCACTCCCTCTCGTGTGATATTGCTTAAATGTAGTATATATAACATAGGTCTAGTTATTTTTAGACATTTCAATGTGGAAAAGTTACATATTATAACTTTAAATGTGGGAAACATGACGTAAATTTGACCTAATTCATAAACTTTAAACTGACAGTCTATGCATTTACATTGCAATCACATTCAATCCATATAATCAAAGTAAGTCAAAACAGTACAGATGTAGTGCAATTTACTTTCAAGTCAATTTTATTTATACAACGCCAAATCAAAACAGAAGTTATCTCAGGACACCTTCCATTTGCAGCAGGTCTAGACCTAACTCTTTATAATATTATTTACACAGCCTCAACCATTTCCACTGTATTTCTTTTTGCACTCACATTCACTGTTTGTATTCTTAGATCTTGTATTCTATTCAGTGTGCAGTAATAAAACAGGCCAGGACACAGCTGACTGTGTGTGAGAGAAAGCCCTGGAGCAGGCTGGGGAAAGGCTTAACCTCAGCTTAAATCTTGTGACACTGTACCCAACAGTGCTCCCCAACTCTAGAATTAGGTTGCTAGTTTAAATTTCAGGGAACTATTCGTTATAAGGTAGCAAAAATTTACTTTTAAAATAACTGTACTTGTCCCTTAGAAATGGTCCCAATAATTCCAATATGTGATCAGAAGTAGAAAGATCTGGGCCTGTATTTCATTCATAAATTTACTATTAGGTAAAGCCTACTATATTACCTATTTTGCATATAACCAAGTATCTTCATTAAGAAAGACATACCTGATAATGTTCATCTCCTACAGCAGTGCAGATCCAGAGTCACTTGGTGATTGAGCCACTTCAGCTCACCCAGAGACCATGTTCTCCTGAACCACAGAGGAAAATGCAGTGCTAAGTTAAACTTCCCTAAGACAGTTTTCACTGGAGGCTGTGATCCCGCCTGCTGCCCTCCCACTCTGACCTGATCAATGCCCAGTGTTCAACAAGCTGTCACACCTTAATCCCTGCCCGGTCTTAGTAAGAGCACAGTTCGAAAACATTCTTGCCTGAAGAAAAGTATAAAACCCTTTGTTTAACAACTGTTTCTATTGGACTGAGTAGCCAGGGAGAGCGCAGGTTGGTCTTCCATGTTAGTGTGCGCTAAATATAATTCACAGCAAAGGGAGTGGCTTTGTTACCACTCACATGGTGATCTGATCCTTGACAGCATTAGACACTGTAGAGTCTTCCCTCAGTGCTGCAGTCAGGGTAACTGCTTGATAAATGAGTGACATCCATTATATGTGGTGATAATACAGAGAAAGATGTACAGACCTAAACCTGTTATTTAGACTCTGTGTCATTTAGTTAAAATCTTCATTTACATGTTGCCCTGGTGCAGACTACATAGCAATAGTGGAGAGGAATTAAATATATTTACTCAGCTGTGTGTCCATACAATTTGGAGGTATTTGTTTTGTATTTCCAATTTCTGCTGCTTTATACGTAAACTCCACTACATATCAGATAGATCATATTATATATGTTACACCACTATATATATTTTTTTTTCATTAAAATTTTCATACAAAACATATGATAAACAAAAACAATGTGTTGCATAGCTAGAGATTGCCAATATCGTCAGTATGTATAAATAGGATAAAACTTGGTCCACCCTGATCAGTGACAACATTTAAATGCTGTTTACACATAAATGCATCAAATAACAATAATCCCAATGCATAATACATATGATAATCCATAACTATCCCAACTGTATTAAAAGTTTATAATTAGTTCTACCTTGACAACATTAAAATGTTGCTTCAATGTACACACAGTATTAATGTATTCTATAAACTTGAGAAATGTTAACACTGATTGAGACCATTTTTCATAATTGGTACTTTTACATTATTTCAAGTAAATTTTTCTTACTTACGTGCTTTTAATTAAATACGATTTTGAATGCAGGACTTTATTTGAGTATTACACATTGTTGTTGCCAACAAACAACTCAATAAGTAATAAATAATTTACAAAACAGTATCTATGACGACCTTCAACAAAGAAACTTTTCAAACCTTTAAAAAAAATGTGTAGGAAGGACTAACATGCTCCAAAATAAAATTGAACTTTGGACAAACACAGCCACCACCAACACTAATTACAGACAGAAATAACAGATTGGAGAAATTTAGTTTGGTACAGTACAATATGGTACTGGTACAATATGCCTGTCGTCAAACTGAGCTCTATAGATGGTGTGTGTTGACGTGTTCCATAAAAAGAGAAATGCCCTCTTGCTTGACCACGGCAGGTCCAGCTGTCCCCTGGGTCAACCATTGTCACCCATACACTGACCCCTTACATGGTGAGGCTATTGATAACCTCAAAACTTTGCACTGAGGCCTTCAGAGGTAGAACTTAATCAGCCAGAGATGTTTCTTCACAGGTGGCAACACAGCTCGGAGGATCTCATGCCTAAAGATGGTGATGGTGCCGCTGAATGAATTTTCATTCACATTTTTTGTTTTTCTCCCAGTCACATTGCTGAGAGAATGTGGCATCGCTGTGACTGCAGCTTAATTTGTTCTTATAGATAACTACTGCTCTCTGGTGATTTATGGTGTCAGGAAATCCTATAAAAATACATTACACCAGAACTATTTTTATTTTATTGCATGTTGGAGTCATATTTTAGAAGGCACAGACATTTCACAAATGTGTAATCCTCTCCTTTTCAATTTTGATTTGGTGAGAAAATCTAGTAAAAAATTAACAATTACACAAACTCTGGTTGACTTGATTCTTTGTATTGACAATATACAAACATCCAGCTTCAAAATGCATGAATTTAAATATCATGTTTAGAAATCAGTAGTAAACTTAAGAAAAAAAGTTTGTAGTTCAAGTTTTTTTTTTGGCTTGAATTATTGCCCTGTTTCTGAGGGATCCATTTAACCACCAAAATGAATAATCTGTATTAAACAAACACTGTATCATTTAACATTTATGAAATGCAACATGTTTTCCATGTATTAGTATAACATCTCACTAATAACAGCTGAAGAAACACCATAAATCCTCCAGTCCATTAGATTCAGTTCATGGTCATTTCTGATCATATTTGATTTAAATAATAGATCATTATGAATTAAAATGCCACAATTATTGCTGCCCATTATGTTTTCAAACCTAGCCTGATGATTTTAAATTTTCTTAATGTAATGTTTTCCTTTCAAGACGAAAAATGTTCATCATAATCAAAAAGTCAAAAAGTCCATGACAATGAAAGCCTATGATGTGGTCAGCTTTATAAATGTTACTTAATTGGCCTTTATTTGGCCAAACATCAAGCTATTATCTTATGTTATATTATATTATCATTGCTGTATAAGTGCAGCTGTTTAAAGTCTTTTGGTTCATGGCAAAAGTTGTGACTTATCAATAGATAATTCATGTCTGGTGAGAATACTTTGACACATCACTCAATATCTGGTGCAAACTGAATGTTTTGTTCAGATTTGAGATTATAACCACTGGATAAATCATCATCATGTCAAACTATGGTGTATAGTGTTTTATAGGTTGTATAGGTTTTATGAACCTTTCGCACAAGTTAAATTAAATGTTTTTGCCTGGGTCACTTAAATATTCCTTTGTGCAGGTATGACATCTATGTGTTTTGTTAGTATGAGCAAAGTTTTTGGATCCAAGCCGCCATAGTTGAGTCTCCAGCATTGTGCAAATGCTTACTGCAGGCTTTCCCAACCAAGAAGACCACCTCTGCAATGTTGAGCAGAATACAAACCCCTGACACAGCCAGCATGAACACAGTGAAGACAGTCTTCTCTGTGGGCCTCGACACGAAGCAGTCCACTGTGTTGGGACAGGGGTACGAGTCACACTTCACCAGCCGGATCATCTTGTAACCAGGGTAGATCATGTAAAACACGTACATAAAGGTGACCTCAAAGACAATACGGAACAACAGGCTAATGACATACGTCCACCAGAGAGCCCCTGTGATTTTCATCTTCTGGGTCTTTATCTGCTCCAGGTCTTTGGGGTTGGTCCGCCCTGACAGTTTGTAGAGCCTCTTGTCAACGTGGCGGCGGTGGGCCACATGCATCGCTACAAGTAGGGCAGGAGTGGAGACCAGGATGAGCTGAAGCGCCCACAGGCGGATGTGAGAGATGGGGAAGAAGTGGTCATAGCAGACGCTGTTGCAGCCAGGCTGCTGGGTATTGCAGGTGAAGCCGGACTTCTCGTCGCCCCACACACTTTCTGCTGCCACCACCAGAACCAGGATGCGGAAAATGAACAGGACAGAGAGCCAGATGCGACCGATGCCTGTGGAGTGTCTGTTCACACCGCTGATTACAGCATAAAATGACGCCCAGTTCATCTTTGGTTCCGGGTCTGATGCACAAAGAAAAAAAAATGTATCATCAAATGCAAAACCTAACGCAACAGAAGACAAAGTAAATCTACAGTAAATGAAGAACAGGTAACAACAAATCTGGGCACATAAGAATAAGTAATAGATGAAATAACATAAACGAATAAATAGAAACACAAATAAAATACAATATAAATACAACAATTTGTGTCTGTGTTTGTATGAAATACAAAAATTAAACCAAACTTCATAGAACATCCCTTGATTATTAAATCTGCCATTAATTTGGACCTTTCAGCAAAATCAGGCTTTGTCTGAATCTCCCACTCTCGTAGAACAGTCCTCAAAGTGCCATTAAAGCTGCCATTGAAAGGCCTAATAAACACAGCTGATTCTGGCAGTGGTTTATGAAATCACTCTCCAATACTTAGTATTACTCATTTTCAAAAAGGAGAAACAAAAGAACACATGAAGAAAAGTACCCGCTTCATTTTGACACTTCATGGTAATTGTCACTCATGAGTCTCATGTTTTGAAGTTTAACTGGTGTAAAATATAACTGGTTTTCTTCTGTGATATAAATTTGAATATATCTAGATTTTGAACTGTTGGTCAGACAAAACAGTCAGGATATCTAGTCAGGATATGACCAGAGAGAGAATAGACCATAGAATAAACTGGAAATATGTTCAAATACTCAGAAGCAAAATGCAACTTCAAACTAAGTGCAAAGCTACATAATACTGTACCTTTATAAGGGGGAATACTTAGTCCCAGCAGCTAAGAAATTAGTACTTAAAAATGCACTTAGGTTAGAGCACTTCCAGTTTTCTACTTCTTTTTCTTTCCACCAAATTAGTAAATTATAACTTTTCCAAGTCAAAAATTGATTTCATGTTTAAAAAGTATCCAAAGTGTTTTATCTCCTCTGCACCGTTGTTGGTTGTCCTGTGTCTTCAACATGTTTGCATTTCCAGTCTAATATAAATGTCAGAGTTGTTACCCGGCTCAGCAGGAGGTGTAAGAGGCATAGGAAGCAACGTAGAGGACAATGCTGACCCGCTGGTTTGGCATGGATATGAATCCAGAGAAGAAGGAAGCCTCTCTGCTCCCCTCTGCAGTTGGCAGGCCACTTAAGAGTGCAACACTGAAGTCTGGCACCATGCATCATGTGATATGCTTTCACCAGTCGCCATGGTGTAGCATGCAAAGTGGGCATCTGCACCCAACATAACTCTCTACTACTGTCAGATTCTTGGCAGGAAAATGTTTGTTCACCAAAAGTGTGTTGATGTTTAAGAGAGAAAGACTCTGGTTCAGACAAAATGAACAATCAAACTCTATTTTGTGACCGGGTATGTGGCTAAATACTGTTTTGATTATCAACATAAAAACAGCAGCATTTTTTGTAGGAAATTTCCAGAAAAACATATTTGTTGGAGGGTCACAGTAAATGTCAAGTTAAAACATGCCAGCGAAGCATAAACTTCCCACAAGTAAGCACAGAATAAACCAGCTGAACACATTGAAAACAAACTATACAACATTTCTTCAGCCACATGATCTGGTAACACAGTGAGGAATACAATCAACTTACCTTCAGCTGCAGTTTGGAATAAAGTACATCCAGAAACATTTACGTTGACATTAGCAGATTTTTTTTTTCAATCAGTGCCTGTGAACAAGAGTATCAGAGCACCATGACTTTGCATTGCTAATGATTTCTCTCACACTAGCCACTGCCCTGCACTGGAGAGGTCATATGCTTCTGTGCGCAATATTTGCATACAATAGCCCCATTTAGCCAGACCAAACAAACAGCTTCAGAATTCAGATCAAACGTTTTAATTTCTGCCCAGCTGAGGAATCTGTGTGGGGACTGCAGTCTGTCCTCTCGTCTTTATTGTGCTGTGTTCTGCAGAGGAAGTGGAGGATGTTTTGACGCAATATGAAGTAAAACATAAAGGTCTAAAACAAAGAATTGACCCATAACATCTGAAGATAAGAGGACAAGGGTTTATTATCATAATAATATGTCTCTGATTTAGTTTTTCTCCTCAGCCTTTACATCCACATTGTTGCTGCCCACCTAGTATTTAACCACTGATTCAACCTGCTCACTCTGCGGATGTAGTCACAAACCAAAACCAACTGGTTTTCTGGGTCTGACTTATCAAACTGATGAAATAACTATCGAGAGATAACAAAATAAATCCAGTCCTTTTTCATTTTCTTCTTTGATTCTTTAGAAAATGATTTGGTTGAGCTTTATTTCATCAGAAAGTCCCATTGAGATCAAGATCCATGTTACAAGAGAGACAATCACGATAAGGGTATAACAGTAGCATGAGAGCCCAGGATATCTCCACAATCCACTGTAGATTGTATAGTGGATTATACAATGTTAGTTTTCTGTTTCTAAGTGAATCCAAATAGAATTTTTATTTTTAAGCTATAGCCAAATTCCTAAATATTCATAATACTCTACTGCATCTATTAGATAGCTAACATGAGTATGGCTCCTAATAGGAATATCATTTTTTTAATTTTTTTTATTTTTGTGAGTCTAGAACACGCTTGAGGTTAATAAAAAATGTCTGGAGCTTGTCAAAGAGTGTTACCTGCTTAAGATCGGGTTTGCAATAGAGTCGATGGCATATAAGGTGATGTCACATCAACATAAAAAAGGACATTGCAGTGTTAAGTTGAAAAATAAATATGTAAAGTAAATAGCAGGGGACCTAATATTGATCCTTGTGGGACATCTTCATTAACTATCAGTGAAGTTGATTTGTACAACATATTATGATTGGCAGCATCAAATGGCTTGAACAAATCTAAGAGTGAAGCACAATGTTGCATTTTTCACCTGAGCAAGGATTTCTGATGAAATGATCAGATAACAGTCCCTGGTTGCAAATACCTGTGAACCTTTCATATACGCACAAACTGACACTTGTAATGGTGGATTCAAATAAAGCACTCACAACCGAGTGTGTGCTTGCAGGGTAACTGTCACCCCCTATTTCAATTCAGTCTGAAGGATGACATCTGGAGGCCAGTAACAGTCATTACACGATATTAATGATTGACTGCAGAAGTGACAGATCAGCAATGTATAACATTTCAAATAGGCCTCTCATGAGAGAAACAGTTCTGTAGATAGATCAAGATGGTAATAGTCATAATGTTTATCATCAGACAAGTATCATAATGTCATCAAGTCATTTTTCATACAAACATATTTTGGTATTTATTTTTTATTCCTAACGTGACAAACTACTATGAGTCATATCATGTATGTAAATACAATTTTTCCCACCACAGTTGTGTGCTGTAATTAGGATACTTCAGTACTAGTGTACGCTGTTTGTACAGCACAGTCAAGTCACGTCATGGTGCTTGAATGCAGGACCACACCCAGTCACAAACAGGTGTGTCCTGTCTCACATACAGTTCTCACGACACATTCAGGAGTCCACATATAATGTGATCATGCAGGTATGTGTGTGTGTGTGTGTGTGTGTGTGTGTGTGTGTGTAAGTGTGTAAGTGTGTGTGTGTGTGTGTCATGAGCTGCTTTGATTATAAAGCAATAAAAATATAATGCTAGCTGAACCTATTCTCTAGAAGCTCTAGGGAAGCTATAAGCTGCCTAGTGCAACAGAGCCTGATCCGTTGGCCACTCAAGCAGTTGAGCCTTGCTCAAAAGATCCTCAATGGTGATAATGTCATGACAATTCTTAAATTTATCGAGTCTTCTGGTCATAAATTAAATGTATTAAATCTTAGGCCTGTTGTTCCCAGTCTCTCACATGTGTCATCCCTTAAAAGAAAAAATACCCACACATTAACAAAAAGTAAAAGAAACTTCAAGGATGCAAACTGAGTAAATTTATTTCATGTGTAAAAAGTGACAGTGAAAATAAAAATGTGAAATAAAAGTGAATGTTTTGGTCAAAAAACCACTGTCAGCACATCTTACCATCAACAGACCATATAATTCTAAAGAAATAAATAGACTATCAGACTATTAAAAAGTCCAAAACAGGACCAAAGAGGTGAGGAACACAAGGTGCTCCACATGAACCTGTGGTACAAAATGACAATGCTGAGACTGAATGACCAAAGTTGTTGACTGAATTTTTTTCATTGTGTCAGTTTTCACATATGAAATTAATTTACTGTCTTTGCATCTTTAAAGCCTCATTTGCTTTTTTTTTTTTTTAAATCAGCGTGTAGTTGTTCTATTACCGATTATTACCGATTTGTTTTGTCTCAAGTGACCAGAGACCTGTACTACGAAGCAGGATTTGATCTTATCAAGGTAACTTCAGGTTGAACTCTGGGTTTTCAGTACTACAACGGTGGTTCACTTGTTACTAGTGTAAATCACCATGGTAACTGAACTCCTAACCTGCTCCAGCGCAGGTTAACTTCAGACGATCAGATCAAAACCTGTCAACAGCCAAACTACTGACCAATCAAATCACTGGAAAAACAGAGCCATCGTTCCTTCAGGGTCCTGACAGGGACAAAAGAGTTTACAATAAAGTGATCAATAATAACGAGCAGTAGATCAGTGGAATAGTTTTCCTGTTTTCCATTTGTCCACTCTGGTTTTAAAACACAGCTTCTAAAAAATGCACGGGAGAGTTTATTATAAATAAAAAATAAATAGCCTATGTAATAACTATTTTTAGCTTAATTTTAATTGAACAAATATTCTTTACTCCGACAGGATTCCTCACAGTGATGAATGTTTTACTCTTTTCTTCATCACTGCAGCTCAGAATAACACGAGGAGAGTCCATGACCACAACTGGAAATAAAAACTAAACCTCTGATTTCTTTGATTAGAACAATTAGCCACACACTGTTAATTATTTCCATGATTGTAAATGAACATTTCAGTCAGACTGACTCATCAGACATCAACTACTTCTCTTTCCTTCTGCTCCTCTTTTGTTTCTCTCCTCTCTGCAGCAGAAACAGTCTGACATTAACTTTAACTGTCTTCTCTGCATCACATGTTCATAACAGTTTGTTCATCATCAAACAAAAGAGCCAAAATACTCAATCTTAATGTTAATTAATGCACTTATATACAATATATTTTAGTCTGACTTTGATAGCAATTATATTTAGACATGGAAATATTTCATATATACTGTATATTTTATATAACTCCGCCTCTTTCACATGAACGCGCTCGTAAACGGATAGGTAAACCCAGGATTAACTGAGCCCGTTGATAACCTGCTTCGTAGTACAGGTTATCAGGACGGTGAATGTTAGGTTCAGTCAAGCCAGATAACTAAACGTTATCCTGGGTATATTGAACTAGCTTCGTAGTGCAGGCCTCAGATTTCCAACAGCACTTGAAAGCATTATGTTACAACAAACTGTGCTGCAGCCCCTTTAAGAACCTCCTGGGTGTGGAAAGGGGGGAGTTTTTTTGTGAGACTGTAGTCAGTTGGGTACGTCCATTTCAGCTTTGTGTTACGCTCTTGGCAAAAATGTGTAGCTAGAAGATGTGTATAATATCTCTATTAGAAAAAAAAAGATTTTCAAATATGTATTCAGCGCTTTAATAACGTGCTGTTAACGTTAGAAAACTAACAATTGACCCTAAAACCGAGGTAAAGGACAGAAGGAGGTTCTTTGAAAGTGTGACACGTTTCGGAATGGAACGTGTCCAAAGGGATTCTGGCCGCTCTTCTAATCACGACACCGCAACAAGGAAAAAGTGGAAAAGAGAGCAGGACCTGGTCTAATTCGAGTTTAAACGGCACATCAGACGAGTTCAAGGGAAGTGAGGTCCAAACTGTGCTTCTCCACTGCTTACTTCACTTCATATTTGACCAGCGGCTGCCGCAGGCTCCCACGGACCCCATGGTTTCTGCTCCTCTGAACAGATGTGTGTGTGGAAGCGCCTCAACTGAGCAGCAATGACTAGACGAGCGTAGGCTGCGTGGCTCGCTAAAACAGTCTCAGAGTTTCTATTGTCTACAACCCACCAGTCCACAAGATGGGGCATCCTCCTCTGGAGTTTAGTGACTGCTATCTGGACAGTCCGGAGTTCAGAGAGACTCTCAAGTGTTATGAAATAGAGCTGGAGAGGACAAGCAAATTTCTCAAAGAGTTGATAAAAGATGGCAACAGTGTCATCAATGCAATCAACGGTAAGCATTCACACATCTTCTTTGTGTAGTTTTGTCAGGAGTTACTGCTTGTTTTACACACTGAATGTAAATACAGTGGGGTGATGAGGGGAGAGCATCAGTGGGGCCTTTTTAGAGGGCCTACAGGATCATTGTGGGTGGGTGGGTGGTAGAGGCTCAATCAGGGAGGTGCTAGTGCTCCCCTGGGATAAGACCATAAGAGCCTCCTTTGAAAGGTTGTGGATCTGATGCAGACGTGCAGGATGACTGGTTTGTTTCCAAACAACACAACAGCTGTCTCCTTTTGCAGGTGTTGCTTGTCCACTTTTCCTGTGTGTGCGATGTTGCCTGTCATCTCTCTGCTGCTGGTTGTAGTGTGGGACCAGCCCCACTGATAGTATGGACCAGAGCCAGTGACAGCATACAGTACTGTAGATGTGTGTATTTGGGTCAGTGTGGCACCAATGAGGGGAACACTGTTTGTTTTGTATGGCCAAGATACTGTCCATTCTGCTGTCCAAATCCCCAAAGACGAGCTTTTCACCTCGAAAACAGGAACTCTCATTGTAGGTGCTGTAGTCATGCTGCAGTGGTCCTATATTCATTCCAGAAAAATAGCCAGAGGTCACGAGTGCTTTTTGTTGGGGTAAACTGCACTAACACATATTCACGAATGTCACATCTTTATCTAGTGCATGATCATCAGGACACGCTGCTCATTTACTTATGAGTTTGCAAAAAAAAACCAGAGAAAACAGAAAAAATAAAATAAAATGAAAAAAAACACATTTAAATGTGTAAATGTAAAAATGTAAAATATGAGACAAAATTTCCAAGTGAAGATCCTGAGGCAAAATGTCTACAGTATTTATCTAACATAGTGTGTATTGTAAAGCCAGACCTAGCAGAGATAATATATTGCCCTGGCCACACACTCGCTGCTGCTGTGTTGCTGAATCCTGCTGTGGATGTTGTTCATGCTGCAGACTTTCCTGCCAGAAAAAAAAGCACAGTAATAATAATCCTGGACAGCTGTTTGGTACATGAGAACTGAGTTGGATGTAAAGAACGATAAAGATTTGTATATTGTATATAGTTAAATGTAGTTGTGACTAAGGCCTTTGGAGCTCCTTTCAGATATTTTCTCTCTTTTAAATCTCTCTTTTTTTAACATTTAGGCTATTCTGTGGCAGTGCAGAAGTTTTCTCAGACCCTCAGCATGTTCCAGTTTGACTTCATCGGTGACTCCCTGACAGATGATGAGATTAACATTGGTAAGATAATGCAGACATGCTGCTAAACACACACTTCATATTCACAGACTATTAAGTTATGGTGATGAACTGACTTATAGAACTTATTCCAGTAGGCTTGTCTGTTTATGATTACTATATGGAAAATGGCCGCCTGAGAACAGTGTGGAGTTGTCAGAAATACCTTGAATTTGTTATTATAAAGTTAGACGTGTTTTACATCAGAATTAGCTGTTACAAACAGACTTCCCCACTTGACCTCAGGGAGAGCAACATTTTTGGCAGCCAAGTGGTAATTCCTCACGACTTACAAGGAATTGGGGGGGTGGAGGGGCGGTTTGGTAAAAACAGAAACTTCTGCCTTAAAGCTTATTGACAAATGTCTATAAAAAATAGTTGGAAATATTACCATCATTAACTGACTCAAGTCTACGTTAATGCATATTTGTCAGTGCTGAAACAAGTGCGTTGTGGTGCTTTTTTAATTGTTTGAAATACATTTCCTGTGTCAGACACTTAAGATAAGAATGTGCTAAGTCTTAATTCCAGTCCTCAACATCTTTATTGTATTCACCCCCAGCTGAGTCCTTCCAGGAGTTTGCTGGTCTCTTACAGGAAGTGGAGCACGACAGGATGATGCTGGTGGGTTATCAGTTTCCTCCATGCCACTCTGCATCCTATTTGAACCCTTATTACATATTTAAGCCATATGAACATCTCCTTCACTACACATTAGACCAAATGGAAGGAAATTTTTGACATGTCCTGTTACAACAGCTAAATTAACTTTGTGTTTGTTACAATACAGAAGCAACACCCTTCCTTGAATAGTAGATATTCCTTTTGTATATGTTAATTGAAATATATTATCACAAAACACATCCATGCACCTAGATACTGTGCTGTAAATGTGTATACTTGTTAAGAGGATTACTGGTAATTATTTTGCTATCAGTTCCCGTCTTGGTTTTCATGTTCCTTTTTGTTAATGGTTCCGTGTTTCCTTTGTATTTTCAAGCTGTTTTACCACTTCTGCTACTAGTATTTTGCATGCACTGTTATACTGTAATTATGCTGAATAACTCATTCTCTAGTTTACTAGTGTTGTAATTGCATTATTTTTGTTATTATATTGTTATTACATGCAAGGTTTCCTAAATGTTTCCTCTTTTTTTAAGCCTCATGTACTCGAGCTACAATCTCATCTTCTTTGTTCATCCACTACTCTTACATGTCATCAATCATGGTATCACATTAGTAGCAGTACTTCCTGTTCAGATTTTCTGGCTACAAATCTAGTTTTACAACTGGAGGTCATTTGGTATTATAATTGTGCTTGTGGGAGTGGTTATGAAAAATGCATTTTTATGCTTTAAGATGTTTATTTCCAAATCCTTTTCAACACGTTTGTGCCCCTAATATAACAAAATGTATCCATAAACAGACTGGGTTCAAGAGTATGTTCTATGCATGGCAATTGAAGTTTGTGTTTCATGTTTACCTGTCCAGGTTCAGAACGCCTCCGACCTTCTTATCAAGCCGTTGGAGAAGTTCAGAAAAGAGCAAATAGGAGTAACAAAAGTGAGTGTTTTCACTGAATCCTCTGCTTAATACTACTTAACAAGAATAGAAGTTGTTCTGTTCACCTTCAGTGGAGCACAACACTGTTATACTGTTATATGACATGCAACATACTGTTATCTTGCATGCAACATTTTCCTGAGCTATTTGCACAGACTGAACAGGATGTTATAAGCTACTTCCCTAAATCTATTTATGAATATATGTGTAAAACAGCCACCTGTTTAAGCAGAATAATATGCAAGTATCTTCATCCTCTTTTAGCACTGAATGTGTAAAGACAAGCAGTTTTGTAGTTAAGAACAGCTCATATTTAAAGTCATCAGGAAAGTTGGTGTGGTCCCACCTTGATTATTCAGCATTACACCTGGGCATCTTTCTGACTATGCTCTGGTGATCAGAATTTTTTCCCCTTCAGTGTATGAAGTAACTAGCTGCTTGTCGCAAACACAGTGCTTGTGTGAAACACAGTGTACATGAATCATGCAGGTCCTAGATGTCTTGTAAAACACATTGCTCTATAGTAAACTCATGTAAAATGTCTTTTGATTGTTCCAGGAACTACGTGTAACAAAACACTTTGTACCTTAATCACACGTTGTCAGTCATTCAGTGTTTTGGCCAATTTAACATATAATATATATATATATATATATATCTATATATATATTAATTTCAACAGAATAATGTACTGGTTAAGAAAGACAAGGTTTTCAACAGGAAAAAGGTATTATGTTGTTATTATGTTATGTTAAGTACATGTGAGTGAAAAATATCCCAAAAAGAAAAGTGTTTAAATGAAGTGAACAGCAGTGAAAGAGTAATACAAGAGCCAGACCAGTGGTTCCCAGTCTCTTTTGTCTGATGTCACCCCACAGTCCTGTCACATCAAACACCACCCATCACCTTCCTAAGGTGCTCATTTGAATTTTAAACTGGACATTATTTAACTATTTACAATTATTTTTTATTATTATTTAATTATTGTTTAAGTTTGCATTTGTAATAGTATCACATAGAGTGGTAAAAGCTAAAGGCTTCAACCATTTATCCATTACTTCATCCATTACAAAGCTGTTTTATAATTTTTCAACACTTTTAGTTGTTAATTTAAACCATTTACCCAATACTTTATGATAAATGCCTCAACTGATTCAATATTTTTTATCTAATTGTTTAGACTCAATTGCTAACCCATTTCCAGTTTCTCATGTGTTACAGCTGACTCAATAAATGCATATATATTGTTTAAACTAAATCACAGTTTCTTTTTTTCAAATTATTTGACATACTCTACATTTCCTCCAAATAACCCTGTCAACTACAAAGGTACCCCATGGGTACAAGTACCAGTGGTTTGGAAATACCAAGCTAGATCATTAACCCTGCCACACCGATATATCAGCTGATAGCCCAGATACAGTTGTGTAAAGTGAAAAGAAGTAAATACCTCCCATGCTACAAACATGCAGCAGAGTCTTTCTGTCCTTGATTTAGGAATTTTCACCAACTATTTCTGTAGCTCACTTCAAGTTGAAGGAATTCTGGTCGAAAATGTTTTGTTATACAAAAAAAAATTGTACTATAACTAAAAGTCTTGATAGCAACAGTTCTCAAGAGGAACTCTCCTATAAGCTGTATGTTTTTCAGTCTATGATATATTTAAAAAATGTTCATTTTTATTCTATGAGAATCTATTCTATTTTCCCAGTTAACATATCTGTCTTGCAGGAAAAGAGAAAGAAGTTCGAGAAAGAGAGTGAAAAATATTACTCCCAGTTAGACAAACACCTGAATCTTTCTGCCAAGAAGAAAGAGAGTCATCTCCAAGAGGTTGGGTGAAGTACAGCCAGTATTTTGCATCAATCGTGTAGTGAAATGTAGAACTGAGAACCACGGTTTGAAATTTTTTTTTTCCCACTACAGGCTGATGAACTCTTAGACAAAGAGCAAGTGAACTTCTATGAGTCATCAGTGGAGTATGTGTACCAGATCCATCAGGTGCAGGACAGGAAGAAGTTTGATGTAGTGGAGCCTGTAAGTACCGCCTGTGGTCTCCTACTCTGTCTTTGCTACGACACGCACCTGACAAGAGGACAAGGAAATAGACAGTACATAAAAAAATGCAGATAGAAAACAGAATCCCATTCAACCATTCTTTATGATAATGGTTCCTGTGTCCTGACAGCTCTTAACAGCAATCTTAAGTATGTATTTCATTCTTTGATTGGACAGGTGCTGGCATTTCTTCACAGTATTTTAACGCTCAACAACCTGACAGTGGAGATGACTCAGGACTTCATGCCTTATAAGCAGGAACTGCAGCTCAGCTTGCAGAATGTAAGTGGTGTTACTGGCAACAAATTATGCCAGTAGTAAGGTTTAATATCCTGTAATAGGAAGTCTGCAAGCTTCTAAAGTGCTGTCTTTTTTGTCTGGTTTTGCCTGCAGACAAGAAACCACTATGAGAGCACTCGTGAGGAGATGGAGGAACTGATGAAAAGAATGAAACACCCATCCCAGATCAGTAAAATGCACAATATTCTGCCAACAGAGGGTTATTTGTACTGTCAGGAGAAGTGTGAGTGTTCTACAAGTTTTACACTGAAGGTTTTTGCTTGAATTCCCTATGACCAGACACATCCTGTTTTTTTTTATTTCTCCCCACAGGGGCTTTGGGTGTGTCATGGGTCAAATATTATTGCAAGTATCACAAGGAGGGGAGACTGCTGGTCATGGTACCTTGTGAACAGAGGCCTACAACTAAACAGGTGCTGATTGAATAGAAATTTTATTATTACTACATATCCACTACATAGCCACAGACAAACATCTGTGTACCTTTAATATACAGAGCCTATTTATATCCTGGGATGCTGACTCTATAATTGTCATCTCCGTCACACATACCGACCAACTTTCTCTCTTTCCCTGCAGGGCCCAACGCAGCTGACGCTGAAGTCCTGCATCCGCCGGAAGACGGACTCCATAGACAAGCGCTTTTGCTTTGACGTGGAAACTAACGAGAGGTTAGTGCAAACAAATCTGAGGAACTGTGAGGTGAGGCAACACTAAAGCCCTGTGGGATAAACAGGTTCAGGCAGAGAGGTGAACAGGTGGTTTACAAGGACAGAGTGTGAGGGCTAAATGGACTGTAGCCCAAACAATCCCCAAGCAGCATGCACACACTGGAAACAGATGGCAGATGCCGTGATTTCAGGGGAAGGAACACAACAAGCTCATATTTATATAGGCAAGCCGTTCAGTACCAAATTAATTTTAATAGACACTTTCTGTCGTAATCAAGCAGATACTTGGAGTGTCAGCAGGGTGTTTTTAAAGGTTTAAAAGCTGCTTGAATTATGCATTAAGCACTTGAATGTGTCTGAATGTTGAGTGACTAATTTGTGCCAATGTGACCTGAACAACAAAATAATGATGATGACGGCTGTTTGATAAACTCAGGGTGGCAGTGCTGTCTAGAACATAGTGCAGAAGATAATGTTGTTGGTTCAAGATGTTTTTAGATAAGCGTTCACCCACCTGATTGTCCCTGATATGCTCCCTGTGCTAGGGCTTGACCCTGACCTATGACCTTAGAAGAAGTAAATGAACAGTCATTTCTCTTACTTACATATTATTCCCTGATCATTTGTTTGCTAAAGTCTGCACACTCTAACAGAGATCTGTGGCTCTGATTGATATCAGGGTTATGTATTTTACTGTCAAAGATGACAGAAAAGTTTTTTTATCGTGTGTTGATCATTACAGTTGGAAGAGAGAGCTTTAAACTGGTAGCACAGTTTTTTTAGTTAACAATTAATTCAGTAGCCTACAAGCTGAAAGGTTTGGCACCAGATTTTGTTGCTTCTCCAGCAGACAGATTGCAACAATAGATTTTCATCATCTCTTCATGCTTGTCTTATTTATCTCCATTTCCTACTTCCATCATCACCACATAGGATTGAGTCAGTTTCTTCAAAGACACTTGAGTCCTTCTTCTTGTGGTGTTCTTGTTATGTTATATTGAAAAATATGTGTGTGATCCATTACTTGCACAAGATTAAAAAAGTATTCACAGCAGATGTAAAATGTAGTAGTGCATCCTGTGACTGAAAAAAGAATTATTGTAATGTTTGCCTCTTTAATGACATTTTGTTTGTGTTTCCACAGAAACACACCTGTTACTTTCCAGGCTCTTTCAGAGGGGGACAGGAAGTTGTGGATGGAGGCCATGGATGGAAAAGAGCCTGTGAGTTTATTTCTCATTTCATGTAGAATTATTCTTCTATTCAGGATCATTTTTGTGAAAATGGCTTTTCCGTGAAAATACATGAGGGACTGTGTGACACACAGAACTCCCAACACGAGTTCACATGTCAGAGTCCATCTAAACCTGTTTTTTTTTTTTTTTTTTTAACTAAAATCTCCCTAAATTTTGGCAAATAGCTCAGCTAGTTATCTTTTAGGTGAGAAGCTACAATTGTTGTCAAGATCCATGTCATTTGCAGCTTCCTAATTGGGTTGCACCTAATTAAATGTGTTTTATCTTCACAAAACAAATCCGTTGAACCCTAGAGAAAGAAAATTGGAACAAATGAGAGAAAAAAATGTATTTGCTAAGTTGTGTGTTGTTTTTTAATGGTATTTTTTTTTATCATTTACAAAATCCACCATGTAAGATAAGTGACAGCTCACATTTGATAAGTGACAGCTCACATTTGACATCTGTTAGGCGCTGCAGGATTATTCCTCATCCATTACAGATGTGTGAGCGATGGTTGGAAGCTTGCTTGGTACATTAATCTATCAGTGTTTGGCTAAATGCTGGCACGTTGTTAGTCTTAACACCATTTTAAAGCAGTGCTGAATTCACAGTTGGTGTTTGAGTTTTGGCTCTTAAAATCATTTTAGCTCTTAATGGAAACCTCCTTGTAAAAAACCAAAAACCTAAAATTTTCTGTTACCATGATCTGTGTCTGCACTGAGTGGTTTTTGAGGCAATGGAATACTGAAGTGCTTTAGTAGCAAAATTTTAGACCTTGTTAATTCTGCTTTTGGTTGTAGCTCTAAACACTATTTCGCTTTCAGTTGTTCTGTCTGTGCAGTTGTTGTCAGATCTCCTTAATATCAGACAATTTGATGGTGGATGTCGCATGAATTGAGGACAAAACACATAAACCATCACTGTCAGAGGATGTGAAAACAACAGAAGGCACACTTTTCAGTGCCCTCTTCTTGTGCAACTTCCTCAGTGACTTCTGTATATTGTGAAAATTTCATAATAGCTTTTCCATCAACTTCACCCAAATATTCTCAAAGATCCTCTGCGCTGTACTACGTCCTCCTGCAAACGATCAACTCTGTGTGGTGTTCTTTTATAATAAGATAGATGTCGACTTTATTGCACCTTGAATGCCCTTTAGCCTTTGGAATAGCTGAAATATAAGGTGCTGAACTCTGTCTACCCTTCAGTGTCTCCATATGGACACTTCATATTGCCCTGTATTTAGGTCTTATAGTGCTGTATGATATCTGTAACTTTTGGATCTTTCTGAACATACTGCCTATGGTTTCATACTTCCTCACACTCTAAGATCTTATTGTCGGTCACTAGAGCGCACAACCTTGCTCTGGAAGTATGATGGTTTTAGTATTTTAGACAAAACAATGTTCCTATTATCATGCATGCTTAGAGTAGACAATAGAGCAGAAATGATTCATTGATTAGTCCATCAAGAAAAGTAATCGACAACTGTTTTGATAGATTGTTTATTATAGATAGATCAAATCATTTTCCAAGCAGAAATATTAAATATTCACTTGTTCAAGCTTCATTTCATTCCATTTGCTGCAGATGACATAACCTTAGGCTGAAGCCAATTGTAATAGTCAATTTAAGTGTTTTCTAGCAATTTATTGACAAAACAACTTATCAATTAATCAAGAAATTTATCTGCACCTTATTCAATTATGAAAATAACTGTTACTTGCAGCCCTTGCACATAGCCCTTGAGATTTTGTACAAATACAAACATCCCCAGGAGCTCTAGAAGCAAAACCATCCTGAAACCAGGCAGCCAGCTGATCCATTACAGTCCATAAGTCTGTTTTGGCAAATTTGTTGCATCTCTAAAACAACAAGTGTTAGAAGTGCATGAGCCCATGAGCCAAAATGATGACAAATGTAATCCTACACTTTCAGGTCACTTCATTTTCCACTAAAATGTTTTGACATTGTTTTCATAAAAAAAAAAAAAAATCATTCAAGACTGGACAAAAACTCTGTTTTTGACTGTGAGTATTCCTTTCTCTAAAGGTACTTTCATTATTATTGCATCCATAGATCAGATTTATCCGTCCTCAGCTACCACGTGTTTCTGACATGACAGTTCATTTGGTAGTTGTAATTTTCTTCTCAGCTCTAAATCAGTGACAGGATGTGACAGTGATACTTCACATTTCAACTGTCTGTTACAATAAACACTCATCCTGCTGAAGCTGCTCTGTAGCTGGCCCTGACCTCTGATGTTCATTAGCGCGGAGGCCAATAAGCTATTTTGGGGAAGATCCACTACATCTGACAGTGACTGACTGGTCTCTGAGTGAGTGGGATGCTCTGCGTGTGTTACTGGTGACTATGCTTGCGGTCATGTACAGATTTTAAAAGGGCTTTGCTAAATTGATCCCAAGAGTAAACCAAATTCTTTTCAATGTTTTTTGTTGTTGTTGATGCAGGAATCTTTCCTGTTTTCAACCACTTTTTTCCCTATTTTCATTATTTTTTATTTTTCTGTAAATTAAATCTGCTCAAACTGTAACTGTAAAATGGTGCTTATATTCCCTTCAGCTATCATGGAAGTTTTTTCTGTGTCCTGGAAGTTGGTTTCAGTGGAACAGTTTTGTGCTCTTGACTCGTCATCAAGTTTTTTTTTTTTTTCTTTTTTGTCTGTCATTTTCAGATCTAAGAAAGTCATGTTCATCAATTGGGCTGTGGTAGACTTTTCCACATGCTCCTCACTTTCCTTTTATATTCTTTTCATTTCAGATCTATCATTCCCCAATTCACAAGCAAGCTGAAAGTAAGTCAATCATCATTATTCTGTAGGTCTGAAGATGTGATGTTTACAAAGACAGACACAATGATGTCTTACTTTACATCCTCTGTCGCTGAAAACATCAGTTATCATGTTTTACCAATCATAAGTATTGTCTTAAAATGACTGTTTATGGTTAAATCTGCTCATTTTTTGTCTTGATTTACTCCACAGTGGAACTGAATGAAATTGGATTCAAGTTTGTGCGAAAGTGCATCAACTTTGTTGAAACAAAAGGTAAAGGGTCCTATTAAAGGTTTATCCCAGCTGCCTAGAGTTCAGTTAGTTTGCCTGCATGCCCTTAAGGGGGCGTAGTTGAGTCACAGGTTAGTCATTTTGGTGCCACTCCTGCAGACTGACGTCAGAGAAAAAATATACTTTACAGTTGTAGTTGTATGAAACAATAGTCTATTTCAGATTGTACAGAATTTTAATCATCACATATTTATCTCTTGCTTTTTCTGTTAAGGTCTTTTAAGGTTTTTTTCAAGATTGATATTTGACTATAATTTCTTCTCTCGATGTCTGCTATCACTGCTTGCTAAAACTCAATATCTCAACCCTATCTTGAACGCAGATGTAACGTTATAATTCTACAGTCACAGTATATTTCTCCACTAGCGTGATTCGTCCTACAAGAATGGAATTAATTACTCAAGACATGAGCATGTAATTTGTCTGATGATCCAAGCATGGGGCATTGTTCAGTCTCAAACTAAATAGTTAAATGAAGCGTTCATAATCCAGAAAGAACATCTGTATTTTAATTCTGGCTCACGCAGACTCTGAAGAAGCATGTGGTACATTTCCACTGCTCGGTGTCCAGATTACACTCCCCTTTCTCTTACCTCCCCCTCTCCTCTTTCCAGGAGTGACACAAGAAGGAGTGTATAGAACAGTTGGCAGCAACATCCAAGTGCAAAAGCTTTTAAATGCCTTCTTTGGTAAGGAAATAAGCCTGTGATTATGTGCTACATCCATCCATTCACTTTGTTTTCCTCAGTGGGATTCATCTACCTGAATCTACAACATAACAGGTTCTGCAGCTTTAGTTAAGCTCGGCTGTTAAGACAGACAGGGAAATATCAGCAGGTGGCTGCAGGTTAGGTTCTGCTTTAAAGTGTTTATTAACAATATTTCTATAATAAGAATGCATGAAATGACTATGCTTAGTGTGAAAGAGAATTACCACCTGACTCTGCTGCTGTGTAACTCATTTTGATTTTCAGGCCCACAACTTTAATGTTGTGATTCACTCTCATTGCATCAATTTTGACTGCAGGCAGCTGCTTGTAGAGAAAAAGTTCTGTACACCAACCAGCACCAATATAGTGAACATAGTGGAGCAATTACCAGCTATAGAGCAGCTAAAGAGTCAATGAAGACCAAAAACAGAGCTAAAAAGAGAGTGAGCATTGGCCTTAAATTCATCCCTTGGACACAAACACTACTCCAAACGAATCCTAATTCTGCTCCATATCTGCTGGATGTGTGAACAGGCAACAGGTTGTTAATAATTTTGCAATATTGACCCAAGTGGCAAAACATCACAGCCTGTGATGTTTTGCCATTTTTAAACAGGTTTAATTTAAACCAGGTTTAAATTATATTTTTTAAATATGTTAAGATCTATAGGAATTTTCCTCTATAGGAATTCACAGCAGACAAATTGACCTTTCACTGTACTAAAGCACAGATTTTAATAATAACATCAGTGACGCCTTTGTTCTGTTTAAGTGCCCCAGTAAGTCATGACAGTGTGACAATGACCTGGAATATTTTCTGCTTGTTTCTTCTGATTTGCTCTTCATAGACCCCTCACACCCAGGAGACGTCGACCTCCACAGCAGTGACTGGGACATTAAAACCATCACAAGTGCATTGAAGTTTTACTTAAGGTGTGTGTGTGTGTGTGTGTGTGTGTGTGTGTGTGTGTGTGTGAGAATAGGCACGCGTATGTACAGCTTTTCCTTTTCACAATAGTTGTAATCATCAAAGCCAAATGTCTATTCTTTACTCTATCTTTGAGATACAGTTAAATTGAATTACAATATAATATAATTATGATGAAAAAATAATTACATACATTTCGGTTGATCGTAAGTCTGAAGTAACAGATTCAGCCTTGACAGTCTAGGTGCTTTCTAGTGTAATTGTGTAACAAGTGAGTGCAGCTTTTTGTTTTTTTCATGCATGATGGGGTGAGTCATATTGCCCTGTGGTCTTGCACTTGTGTTTACGAGCATCTTTATTTATCTGCAGGAGTCTGTCTGAACCTCTGATGACCTACAATCTGCACAGGGACCTCATGTGTGCTGCAAGTAAGACATGTTTTGGAAACGATCCTGCGCTCAGACAGAGGGAAGTTGTGTCATTATGTTATATTATTTGTTAAATTAGATCCACCATTGAAATATATTACTTATGATCTGTGCTTCAAACTTGTCTTCATCTGTTACTTTGTGTGAATGAAGGTTGGGCTGTAGTTTATGAATGTGCTATGCATCTTGGGTAAATTTACTTTAACATCAATAAGTACTGCCTTGAAAAGACTTGGATACAAGGAATAGAAGAGGCATTCGTACATCAATGCTGTGCAGGTTGAGCAGGTCCTCAGGCCACTACATCACTCTGGACACTAAAGGAAATCTAAGCCTGCTGTTTGTTTTTGTCTGTTACACTACATCATTGTAAAAGAAGTCAGTGAGTTTAATAGCGTCAGGATGTTAAAGGATGCTTTAGACAACCAGTGACTTCAGTTTCCTGGAAATGCCATTCATTAACTGAATGGAGCCTGAGTTTGTTATGGAGACTTTCTTTTATTAGCCTCATGCTATTGTAGTGGATAGCTGTGCCCCGCTCCATACTGTTTTTTTAATAATAATTATTTAAAAAAACTTTTTAAATAATTATAATAATTGTATCTTTATAATTGTATTTTTTCTTTGTATCACAGAGTCAGATAATCTGGACTTTCGACTAAGTGAAATTCATTCACTTACCTACAAGCTACCAGAGAAAAATCGTGAGATGCTGGAGATGCTAATTAAACACTTGGTTAGGTGAGTGCCAGTGGACTTTGTAGTGATTCACTGTTTTTACTGATCCAGGAGGCCCAGTTGATGTGTCACTGACTGTGCCAGCAGTTTAGTTACATTTTAACCAAACTCATCCTCATCCTTGTTGACAGTGTGTGCAGTCGCAGTGACGAAAACCTCATGACTCCTTCAAACATGGCCGTTATCTTTGGACCCACGCTGATGAGAGCAAAGGAGGAGACTGTGGCGGCCATGTTGGATATCAAGTTCCAAAACATTGTTGTTGAGATTCTGATTGAGGACTACAAAAAGGTACAATTACAGAGTGGAATCATTTTGTCCCACTTAAAGGAATAGTTGATGTTTAGGAAATCATTTTTGGCATTTCAGTTTATTTCATGCTCTTTGTTTTGCATATCATTTATGTAACAAAGTTATAGGATGTATGTAACTGAAATACTAGCTACTTAACCGAAGTGCCATTACACTTTTTTTGTGATTTCAGATCTTCAGTAATATGCCAGAGGACAGCACCGCCCCGCCTATCCCTCCTCCACGGATCACCCCGAGAAAGCGGCAGCCCATCACCATTTCCAAACGGCCACCTCGTGTTTATCAAGCGCTCAGTCACGACCACTTCCAGAAAGCAGAGAGTAATTATTAGTCTTTGCTGGGCCTGATTGTCCTCATGCTCCTCATTAACCCGTCCTGTCTGTGCTGAATGTACAGAAGTTCTTCTAGACAGATCTGTAACACAACACACCTGCAGGGTCATTTCGTAGCACTGTCTGAACTACTAATAAAACAAGTGTTACATATTCCTAAACATGGAATTATGTATTTCCCTTCCAAATCAAGATCTATTAATTTTATTCTTTATTGCCTTAGCCTTAATCATTGATAGGAAGTAATGGCTCAGTGGTTTTATTACCAGATTACACTGTATTGTTATATGTGAACTTTAGTAAATTTTTCCAGCACTTTGAATATGTTTTAATCTTGCACATTGACTGAGGTTTTAAGTTACTTGTACTAAGATAGGAAGAACACATCATATTCTTTGTCTGTTCTCATTTAGTCCGTTCTAAGTAGTCACAACCTTGCATTAATTGTTCTGTCGTTTCTTTGTAACAGATGGACCGGACAACAGCTCAATAATGGACGTGGATGTCTCATTGAACCCTGTTCCCCTGCAGCGGATGAAATCTGTAAGCTGTGCTCCACTGGTTGCAAAAGAACCTCCTCCAAGACAAGCACTGATGCCCAAACCAGCAACCCGTCAGGACAGACCCTCAGACTCTAATGTTGGGAAGATGGACGACACAAGGCAAAAGGCTGATTCCTCTTCAGTGGCAAACGGGGAATCTGGAGTCTATGTGAGCAGAGTACCATCCTTTCAGAGCAGAAGACCGCCTCCGAAGGGCACATCAGCCAACAAAGAAGGTACGAGCAACCCTCTGTGTCTATGTAAATGAATATTTCTTAAATCATACTTGTTTATCTGTAAATGACTTTGCCCATGTCTACAGAAAAGAACTCTTCAAGCTTTACAGGGTTTAGACAAGTTAAGACAAAGGGGTGTATTGTTATATGAAAAGCAAAGTTGTGATGTATTGGTCAATACATCTTCATCTGCTCATTCTGCCTTTGTCAAGACATCTTGCCACCCAAAATCTTGTCCACTGATTTGTATTTGATCATCTAATTTGATTACTGAAGTAATCAGTTGTGTTGCTCTTTATGACATGGATTAAAACATGTCCAGCTGATGCATCTTTGCTTTACAAATTTTCCTCTCCAGATTATGAGTCATTATTATTTCATTTTTAAAGAAATAAAAGTTTGTTTTTATTTCTGTTTTGTTTTTAGCTTCATTTCATTTCACATAAACAGTGTTCCTAAGATTTTGGTCATCAATGGAAAATGAAAAAGAGAGATGGTATAGAGATGAGTGCTATTTGTCTTTGCTGAATTGTAAGGTTTCTTGATAAATTCCCAGACAGTATTTTATTGATGTAGACTGTATCAGTCCAATATATCACTCTATGGATTTTCAGTTATTATAACTTAATGTGCAGCATTTTCAGCTTGTTGTTTTGGTGCCACAGCTCACAAAGTGGCTGCTGTGGTTGACTCTCACTACTCTCATTAACCTTGCAGCAGCCTTCAAGCATACGGCAGATGGAGAGAGTTAGGGACTAGCTGTTGAACAGAGTAGTGAGGTTTTAGTTTAGTTCCTATACAACTCTTAGCCCCCCCATAACCTCAGATGTTGGATTTACGTAATTACACCTGCACATTCCCTAATTCCTGCACAGTCCCATGCACTGTTACATGAAGCTTCAGCATTGTTTTTATTTTTCAGGAGATTCTGATGGTCTGACCAGAACGAGGTCCACAGAGAAACCTGCCATTTGCAGACCCCCAGTCAGGCCTCCTGAGCCCCCCTCCAGATACCCCACTCCACAAAAGCCCCAAAATGCAGCCAGCAGTGAGTGCACGCCCACATCCTAGTAAGTGTTTTTCAGTGATACAAAAGTCTGAAGCCTTTTTTTTTTAAAGATACTTTTGGGTATGCAAATGCTGAAGGGGTCAAGAGGTCCAATAAATGTTCCACTGTTGAAAAGTAGAGTACCACACAAGTGTAACACCCAAAAATCAGCAGGTAACAAATAAATGTAGAAAGTGGATATAAAAAATGCAGTCGCCAAATGAATAGGTGCTGACTCCTGGATCACAAAGGATTTAAAGAAGAATCACAAATTCATGATGAATCAGATGTTTATGTTAGTTTTCCTCTTATTCTGCAGTGTTGCCTCTAAAACAAAGTTTTTTGAGAATGCCTCGAGGCAAGTTGGCAGGTACGTAATTTTCTTTGTCTTTGCTCCAGTTTGTCCTTCTCGTTAGTTCAGGAAACTTATCAGATACATTAAGTTTGTATACAATAGATGAAAGTTAGTAAAATCACAACAGAGCATATGATTAGAAAGGTGTTATAAGTTATAGCTGTGAACAAAGGAACATTTTTAATTGGTCAATAATTGTTATGATAAAAAGTGAACTACTCAACATTATATGTCTCTGTGAGCTGGAAACAAACACATCTGCTCTTTAATGATTCACTCTCATGATCCACTTTCAAGGCCTTGCTGCCCTCCCTGCACAGGCAGTGAGGCAGGCATATTAGGAATGTCTGAGTGGGAAGAGTTTGTGGGAGTTTTATGAGAGAAAGTGTAACTCTCTTTATTATAATCTCTTTTGTCTGTACAATTTACAGTAATGTGTCCAAAAAGGGGAAGGTGTGACCTCTGCTGACGTATAAAGCTCACGTGTGTCCTTCGGAAAGAAGAAGCACAGTTTGACTGTAGTGATCGTTGTCCCACAGTTGGACCTTCTATTAGCAGCACAGTTTTCTAACACTGTACAATACAGACATTATGCAAATACAGTATTCAATAGATAAATCTAGATCTGACATGTATTTGGTAGATTATTACAGGTGGTTGTGAATTCAATTTTTTAAATTTACATCATAGCTCAGTCTGACATTCCTTCAAACTCATATGCTACAGATGGATTTTATTAGACCCATCTGACACTGTGAGATGCAATGAACTTGCAAGATTGCTGTTATAACTCAGGGACGCTTTAAGACAGATCATGGGGGGGTCTGTTGGTTAAGCTGAAGCTGGACTGTAAATCGTAAATGGATTTGGCATTTTTTATTTTTATTTTCTTTTCTCTTCTAATTTAGTCCACCGACTTCTCCAGTACCATCATCAGGGACAAACGTAAAAAAAGAGGTGAGAGTTACTGTGATTTTAAATTTATTCAGTATTTTCAGGCTCTTGAGTGTGTCTTAATGAACTGTTTAATGAACTGGAATAAAATTTGCATTTTGTATTTAAACTCGTATACTTGAGACAGATTGTCTTTGGCTTGTTTCCTCAGAATTGAAGTTAAGGAGACCTAGACCACATCATGTGACCTCTACGTGTGCTGTTTGCAGCACACTAAGAGTGGGGAGTCACCACTAATGAACTCAGTTGATGCTGATGTTAAGTGAAAGACTAAAGAAATGGTTCTCAATAGAACTGAATTTAATGATAAGAATCATGTCGTCAACACAGGAGCATGAGCTTGTGAGATAACTGGCTCGGTGTTTATTATTCCAAAGTTGGGATGGAGTAAAATCTTTTTTTTCTTTCCACACCAATCAACACTTTTGTCAAATGATATTATAATATTTAGTCATTTTAAAGTTCAATGGTTTGAATGACTCTGGGCAATGGACATGTGCGAACTAACTTGGTTATGACTTATCTACATTTTAACACTTGTTTTCAGGAGTGTGAAATAGATGTCCCAAAGATCAATCAGTTTCATCATTATTAGTCTGAAAATGTGACATATTAGTCTAAATATTAACTTTTAAATGTTGTAGCCATGTAAAGCCATTGAGACAAAAACTATTGTCTGCTATTTTAGTGGATCTGCTGAAAGAAAAGCAACTGCTAAAGATTGTATTTCAGTATTTAAACAAACCAGCATAAAAAAAAAGTTTCAATAAAAAAATTTCAATTTGTTTCAAGGAACTGGATAAAATAAATTCATGTTAAGCTACATCTTACAGTGCACTAATTATGTCTGTGAAAGCTATTTCAGTTGGTCTTGAATAATTCAGTTGAGACATAACTCACCACCACAACATAAGACACTTTTTAAAAGGCATTAAAAAGTATTTGCTATAAAATGTGACTCTATTAAAGTCAGTGTAGTTTGAATTTACACTGAATTTAAAGCTTGTTAGTTCAATAGGGAATTTTAAAAAACAGATTCCCTCACTTCTTACCTCTTTTGTAGGTCAGGTTGTATAGGAGAGTCCTTGAAGTTTACCTAAATTTATTGCACCTCAAATTAAATGTTGGGTTTAAAAAAGAGGTCAAAACTGTTTGTTACAATATGTGAATATAACACTCCAGATTCTCCTGATTTTTATTATTATTTTTTATTTTGTTCTTCTTGAAATGGTAATTATGTTGGTTTTACACGTATTTTTGCATAACCCAACTTGAAGATTCTGGTTTCTTTCTGGTTTTCAAAAAGGAAAAATAAACACAATGCGTTTTTAACTTGACTCAAAAATGAGGTGTGTTTGATCTGTCAATTCTGTGTTACTCTATGGTGTTTCTGTCTTATCTCTCTTCAGTCAGTGTGCTGATGTTTGAAGTCAGTCTTATGACTTCTGTCTCACATTTATACTAAGTGAATGTTTTTGTTCTGTCTGTTTCTCTAAAACATTAATCACTCGTTAATGTGGTGTTAACAGGTCTCTAATTAAAAGTGTCACTTCACTTGTCAAAGTGTAAAGTTGCTAAAATTCAAACTTATATTTTGTACAAAGTGCAAGAGGAGTTGCAACATGTAAGAGACTTTTTGCAGGGTGTATCATCTTACTACTGCTTAATCTGAGGAACATTTAATATAATACAATAAGGTTGAAAGACTGAGGACTCCAGATAAAATGCTGTCATGTTTCTGGCTGATGACTTTACATGATATCCATGGTGAATCAGTGGAGGTAGGTCAATTAAAAGGAAAATAAAAAGCATAGAAATTTAATTAGGTTTCAGTAGCACTCTCTGTGACAGCTAGCACTGTTGTGATAAAGTAATTGGCTTCATTGTTATTCATTTGCCACATGTTTTGTATGCAGATATAAGCTGTTGTTGGCAAGGTGACGTATGTGCAGAACTGGATGCCAAGTAAGCATTATGCAAAATTAAAAAGTAATTTTCTAGATTGATGGGTGCTGCTGACTTTTTGTATATTTGTTGTATTAGTTAAAAACATGCCACCGGAGGCCTGACAGTCAACCCTGTGGAATAAAAGGTCTGCTCAGAATGAAGGGTTAACCACAATATGTTGGCTGAAAATTTTGATTGGAAACAGTGTAAAAATTTTTATGCCAGTAGCATGGTTGAAAATAATATTTAAAGATTGTTCACCTTCCCCCATGCAGTGAATTTGTTGTGGTGTTCAATACTTGAACAACTCTAATAGAGCCCTCTGACTATGACTGTGATCTTGTCCTGCCTTTGAGGAGCATAATTGGTCATGTAGCTCAATGTGGTTTGACCTTCATTCACTCTCATCCAAATATACTGTTTCAATAGGAAACACAATTTAAGAAGCAAAAGTATTCTCAAAAGTTACCTCATGAATACTGGGTGGTGTAATGGCTCCATTCAGTATACAGAGCTTCATATATTGAGCTCCATATCTTGTGAAATTACATCTCTTTGTACCTGTCCTATGACATTGTCCTTTCAATACTCAAGTAATATTTCATGAATGTCTTCCATTTTTGTATGTGTGTGTAGGTGCAGTTTTGCATGAGCTTCTTATGGACTAGTGAGGAAAAAAGAATTTGCCATCGAGTTGGGTGTCTTATTTTCTCAACAAAATACAATTAACGCAACTTTATAATCACAAGTTCTACAAATCCATCTTTCTATGTTCTCCCAAGTCTTTCTAATTATCTTACAATACCAAATACCTGTGTAGGATGTAGATTTTCATTAATTGTTGGGAATGAGAGGAAAACGTGCCAGGCCTTCACCATTACTTTTTGAGTTTATGCAGTTGTAATTCATCTGCACTAATATAGCAACCAATGTATGTCATATTCCTTGTTTGCACTTTCAATTGTAATAGATTTTCCTAATTATTTATAATTTTGTCTATTACCATTAATTCTGTTTTTTCTACATTCATTTTATAACCTAATAGCCTCAACAATTCAGAATAATAATATTTGTATAAGGAAATATACAATACTACACTGTTGCCCATAAAGTTGGAATAATTTAGTTTTCAGTTTAATTGTTGTTTCATTGTGGTTTCATTTTCATTGTGATATGTGTGGAAGAGATTGACTACTAAAGTTTTGAGAAGATATACGCTTTATCTGTCAAGAATAAATCACATTGTCACAATCATTTAATGGAAAGAGGTAAAAAAATATTTTATTCCAACTTTATGAGCAACAGTGTATATACAATAATATCCTGCTACCTTTGATGAAGTCATGAACCTTCAGCACTTTACACAGATAAGATCATTCAAGTTGGTCAGGGTTTTTCCTGCATCAACTGTCAACAGTTTTGAATACTTATACTTCTTTGCATACTGTATTAATGATAGACATGTTCTATTATTCATTTTTAAATCTATTTTGTATAAATTGTAGTGTATTTATGGCTTTAGTTATGATTTATTTTAACCACAGTTGATTCAACTAATATGTCTAAAATAAGAAGGTCTATCACTCTCTCTAACTTGCTTCAGTGTTTGTGAGAGAGTGCGATTTCTTTGGGCAGAACAGTTTCTATAAGAAGGGGGTTTATGTTTGACCAAAATGTTGCATAAAATTCTAGTGGAAGGTCACCTATTCCTGGAGTTTTTTTTTTTTGAAGGAAAATCATTAATAGCAACTTTAATTTCTGTACATGTAAGGTCCATTTTGCATTTTTGTTGCTCCCCTGATAAGTATTTCAAATAAAGTACCACTACATTCCAATGTCCACTGCCAGCCTGAGCCATTCCTCCTCTCCTCTGCCTTTCTCATTCCACCAACTTGTATCTCAATTTCCTCAGCAGTGGTGGATAGTTGGCCCACATCACAGGACCTGTGAAAATTCCCTCACCGATTTCATACCGATTCATAATGACCTTGAGCCTCAGTAAATTAATATGCGGCCGAATGCAAGACTTTCACATAGGGGAGCACACACAAGAACAAAAGAATGTGTGTTCTTACTGAAGCATGCACCATGTTTACTGGATGTCCAAGCTGTATTTAGTGCTAATGTATTCCCCACGGCTTTGGGAATGCAGCACCTGATACTTGGTACCTGGTACTTGTAGTTTTTCTCCTTTCCATTAATGTACATTTGTTGTACATTTCTCAATGTATTACTCCAGCATGACAAAGACAGCTTGTTGACAAACTAGGAAAGTGTAAGTGGACTTAAGGCTTAAGGCTTAAATGTTATTACGTATTCCCAAGTTTAATTTGCCCTCATGCCTTGCTATCATGTGTGCTTCTTCATTTAGTGTTCAGTTACTTGATCTGTCAAACAAACATCCCCATCTTCAGAGTCAGAATTATTTTAATTGTTTTCAAAAGATGATGCAGCTTTACACCTTTGAAAAACACACAGCAGGTCACAAAAGGTATAAATCATACAAGAGATGCCTTTAAAAGACAAGTGTCCGGACACTAAAACAGACATTAAACAAATCAATACAGTTACTGTTTCATGTACAAAGAACCACGTTAATCTGCAGTACACTGGGCACATACCGGCCATTGTCCATTGAAATCATACAAACACTGTAATCTACTGTGATTAAATCGCTTTAGTTTTAAGAATTTACAGGGGCATCGACAGTATATGGCTCATTGAGATGTGTGTCCAGTGGCACTGATAACGCCTTCAAATTTCCCCCTGTGTAATATATGATAAAGCTAAACAGCATTAAAAAAAACTAATTACAACATCATTTCAAACCAACATTAATTTCAGGGCTAAAGAGTAGCAAAATGTTAACTGTGACAGTCTTAAAATATAGTGCATTCAGGAAACGTAAGAAGTCTTGATAGATATCTGAATTTTAGAATTTAATCAAAACTCACACAAAACTTAAAATATTGATATTCTCAATAATTTCACATTTTTTTCACATGAAGAATCTGGGTTCCAGTCATGTTTTTATCAGACTTCTGTGTAGTTTCAATTTTATACTGAACTGCTGCTTCTCAAATGACAGACAACACATTTATTCAAGTCTCAGGGCTATAATTGGTTGTGGTAGTGGAGTCAGGTCTCATGGACCAAAGTGTATGTATCCATAGCTACTGGATTTCCTTTTCTCCCCCATTCCTTTTCACACAGCAGATATTGTAGGAAAAGACAAAAGGAGGACATGAAGACATCAACTTGTTCAGATGAAGTAAAGTACTCTACACGCTTAACTTTATGAATGAATCTGTTACAAAAAACTGTGAAACTGTCAGTCAACTTATCACTGTACAATATATAGTTATCATGCCCTCTGATAGATGTACCGTGCATTGAACAATGATGACACTATCAGTATATAACAAACAGGAAACATGGATGTCCATGCATTGCTTTCTGTAAAGCTAAAAGTTACACACACATTTATACAAATACATGATGCATGCATCTACAAGCTTGTAAAAGAAATTGCTTGTAGTATTAAATTTACAGAGTTAGAAAACATTGTTGAAAATGTTTGAACAATGTAGAATAAGCCACAGAAGTTAGTTGTTTTGGATTGTAATAAAGATAGAACAGCTGGTTTGAGAGAAGTTATAATCTGCTACTATTCTAGTTCTTTTACTGAAAGAAACAATTTCAGTCTAAATTACACTCTGTCAAGTGTAGTTGTATGTCTGTGTATGGTTTATGCAAAAACTGATAATTGTATTCAACTCAATAAATTACTGTAAAGTAATAATTTTCATCAGTTTCGCTCAAGCGATCAATTTGTCAATAATGTCAAAGCATTCCACTGATTTTCTTTCTTGGTTTTATCTCTGAGGTTTGGCAGGGCCTTCCTGGACTCCCAGGTTTAAATTGGCTGTGAGTTTATTGAGTTTATTATTTCTTGTCCTGTTGGCACGTTACTGCCCTAATCTTTTAATCAAGCTCTCATTCAATATTTGTCTGTATTTGGTGCCATCCTTTCTTCCTAGTGTGCCTATAAGTCTCCCAGTCCCTGCTGCTGTCAACACCATGATGTCTGGCAAGGTTGGAGGGCGGCAGACCAGTTTAGAGCTGTAGACTAAGTGCATTGTGTTATAGCTGGTGACTTTATTTTACTTTTATCAATAAATCTCTTGGTAAAAATAAAATAAAGGCTTGTAATTTGCCATGTGTCTTTGCTTCACTTTTACATGCTTTATGGTAAATAAATAATTTGATGGGAGGTTCAATACTCTCTACAGCCACTATATCTAAACAGATACAAGGATACAAGAATATAGTTTATTGTCAATAACTAATTCATGTTGCCTTTGGCTTGGATTGTAAAGTCATCTTACTATTTAATTATCATAGATAAATTGATTCTGAAGCTGTGCTGTGGAGGAATACAGTATCAAAACAACATAATTTTCTCCAACTTCACTTATGCCAACCACCTGCGTTAACAAGTTTCCCAACTACTTATTTATGAGTTAATGCTTTAAAATTAGTAACATTGAGAAAACATCTCGAACACATTTGCTGGCAACTTGACGGGACAATATTTGAAGTGCAGAGTGACAATAAGCACAAAGTGTCTTCTGGAGATATTTGCATTGTGCTGCATTGGCTCAGTCAAGCAAAAGCAATGCCCTGTGTGAAGACAACACGTGTGAGTGATGAAGGACTTCAAAGCAATGTGTGTACGTTTAACAGTAACTCAGCCTGTTTCTTTTACGACCGTGACTTAGCTGAATTTTTACACTATGCAGTGAAGAATTGTACTACTCATCATTTGTGATTTCAGAAGTAGACAAGAGCAAATAGTGAAAAACTCTTTATGCTTAAAATACACAATGTGAGGTTTTGGTTGTGTGGCTACTACCAAACACAACACCTGACCTGAGCTGTCATCTTGTCCACTGTCTTTCAAAAAGACATGGTTTTAACATCGAGGGTTTGAATCATCAAGAATTTAGATTTAAGGAGAATACTGAATGAACAAAGTCTAGTGTATACAGATTTTTTATTGCCAAATAGTTGAATATGGAAAAACAAATACATTTCTGCTAACTGTGACTGCAGAAACGCTAAATAATGACTAACCAAAGAAGCGGTAAATACAACTGGGAGAGAATTTTCTACAACTCCAGCTGTTGAGAAGCATGGTGTGATTAATTATTATATATATAAGTTGGATTTTCATATCAAAAACTAGTACTCTATTCAATTTGTAATCTTTGTTTATAACTGAGACCTCACATGTCCACAAAGCTTTATTCTTAACTACACATTAACTGCAAGAATATCCCTTTTTCTTAGCAAATCTAATGTTTTATGTTTATTCCTCACAAAGTATCAAGACAACATCAATGTTTTACATTTGCCTTAGCTGACTATCATATCTATACTGTTTGCTATAGTAATGACCATGGTCTTTTCTCCATAGTTTTATCCCACATTTAATGTCACACCAGTATTTCAGGATTTTTTTTGTATCTGTTACAAAGTTTAATAAAAAAACAAAAGAAAACAAATCTAAAACCTACACATCTTATTTAAGCACTTAAATGCCTTCCAAGTTGAATTTACCACTCTCGTTTTCACAAGCAGGAACTTGCTCTTGAAGGCAGTCATTATAAAAACAGATTTCAGTAAGTGTCTGTTTATTTCTGTGATCCAATTCTCATTTACTCTTTGGGCCATCACATGTTCTCTTGTTATTTCATATGTATGTGTACCTCATCAAGTGTATGTATAATGAAGGTCACATGCAAACTTGATGTTTTTAACCCTGCTACTTTCAGATGTCTGCAATCTTTATTTACAGAATGCAAAGTAGCATCTCCGCTCAATCTGAAAACACTCGCAGCTCTTCAGATAAAAGCTTTAACAGTTCTGAGCAAATATCTCAATTATGTCTAAAAGGAAAAAAAACTTGAAAATAAATAATGAATACATGACAGGGCTATTTGATTGAACATGTACGGAAACAGTGCAAAGCCTTTGTTACAGTTTATGGAGGCAGCAAAGCTGAGTCAGTTTTTGATATAAAAAACCCCTTCTACTTGTGAAACAAGATAGGTTTTGCCAAACCTGCCAGGATCTTTGGTACATGTACTGAGATTATTTCCCCAATCATCTCCGGAAAGCTGACCTTTGTGGGAAGCGACTGAGCCTGAACAAAAAGGTCAAATGTAAACTGATGGAGCTTCTTCACCATCTAAAACAGAAGAGACAACATCATTTGAATTAAGTTTACTACAAGCAAAGAGTTTTGACAATAACTCAGGAAACATGAGTCATGAAAACATAAGATATACTCATGGCACTGTTAGGATTAGGACCTTGTGGTCCTTTTCTTTCCCTGTTTTCCTTGTGTTCTCTGCTGTGTTCCCTTCCCTCTTGTGTTTGTTCGTCCCGAGTTTGCGTCTGTATGTGTGTGTGCGTGCGTGCGCGCGTGCGTGCGTGCGTGTGTGTGAGTGTTCAGCTGAGTATTGCTTCCTGGATCATGCTCCCATCTCCCATTCAACTCTTCACTCGTTGCCAGATCGTTCCAACTCATCGTGCAGACACTACGGCCTCTTTTTGCCTCTTTTGAAACAATTTTGCTCTGTCTTGTTGAACTTTTCGGTAACCCTGAGATTCCTGTGCCTTAGGTCTATTCCTCTGCCACCTGCCACACTCAGCCCCCATCTCGTCTTGTCTGTTTGAATTTCTGTTAACCTGCTCAACCTGTCGGTTTGTCACACCTGCCTGACCTGCTCCACTACTCCCAACAAGATTTTAAATAAAAGAGCTTTTTTTCATCACTCCACTCTTTTCTGCTTTGTTGGTCCAGATCCTTACTATAAACCTTACAGGCATGGCCTAAAATGTTTGGATTGTAGCGCTCTGAATCACAGTAAACTCATCGATTAGACTTCTTTCTACCCTGAAGAACAGTTGTTAGATTTTTAAGGCAATGCTTCAGATTCTGCTTGTACTAGCATGGGTTTTTCCATGGGCTATTAAAAACACAGCATCCACTTAGATTTAAGTGCATGTGTGGCACAAAGGATAGTTATTTAATATTATTTATTTATTTAATTGCCCACTCATTAATGTGTGTTGTTTATATGTATTTATGTTTTATATTTTTACAGACACCCCCCGTTAAAATTTTAAACATTCGTATTCCAGGCACGAGACTACTTGTGAGGCTATATAAGCTGTGGGCGTTGGGTTGTACATGTTATAAATATTGTGTGCTTTCTGTTTTGTGTATTGTTATGTGTTTTCGATAATCTTGCTTATATGTTAATTGTGTAACTGTTGGTGTTAGCTTAATGTTTCTAACAGAAGCGAGTGCGGAGTTGAAGTTTGCCCTCCTCCGCTGGTAGATGTGTGTGTGTGTGTGAAAGTAAATGTTACAGTGTTTTGTGGTTTACATTTTGTTTATTTTGTCAGTAGATCCAATAGTTTTTGTTAATTTGTTATTTTCTAACTGGGCAGTTAGTTAACGGCGTACAACAGCTACAACGCGAGCCGCAGCTGATCAACAGGACAGTGCAGTTTACCTTTGCTAGGCAACCAGAAAGCGCTCAGGCTGCGGTGCTGCAGAAATAGGAAGAGGGAGATTTTCTTATAGATACATTAAATATGCTTGTTTTGTGATTTAATATATAAAGAGAAACAAGATAATTGTTTACATAGGGAAAGATTATAATTATAAATAGTAAAATGATATAGAATTAACATTGTAAATATCTGGTGAATAGTTTTATTGCATTTTTGAAATGGAGTAATTTTGATATTGTGATTATTGTGATGATTGTATTGATGTAGTTGGCAGTTAACGTTTTTAAGTAAAGCAACTGAAGACCAGCTCACCTACAGTGCCTTTGTTATTTGTCCTCACAGACACTCATTTTTTTTAAAGTGTGTCACCCCTGGAGTATGCAACTTCATGGGCGTAACACATGCATCACCAAGAAATGCTTTAGGCAAATTGGTAGAATAACAACTGTTGATTTATAGTTTTCACTGAAATGCAGCCACGTGTTGTGACATGGAGAAGGAATACACATGTGACATTATTCAGCTGAAATCATGGGAAGCTGTGTGTCTCACCATCTGGAGCGAGTCCAGGAGTCGGGTGAGTTGGTTGAACCTCTGAGAACAATTGGTCGTCATTCGATAGTTAATGAGTCGATCAAGTTCGTTGATGTAGGTGAGACGCAACTCATCAAAGTACTTCTGACTCTTCAGACCCTCAACTGGAACTGGTGAAAAGAGAAAAACAGTTTTGACTACATGTTTGGTGGTTCAGTTTTTTTTTTTTGACAGCTCCACTTTTGATGTCATGATGCTCAGTACACAGGACAGTACTCACTAATGCTAAAGAGGAGCAAGGCCTTCATGCAGAGAAACTCTTCCTGAGTGATCTGCAGCAGCACAAATTCCTGTGAAAGATGTCTCATCCGTATGCAGTGCTCATACATGGTGGAAATGTGCATCCGATGTCTGCAGACGTAAAAAGGTCAGGAGATGTGAATGAATGAGTTCAATCACAAGAAGCAAGGATAAATTGCTTTAAACATTGGACATTTATTCTGTAATGAATGACTGCAAAAGAGGAAAGAATTTCAGAGGTTACATCCATTTCTATAAATGCTGTAATGGAGACAGTATATGAATCTGAAATATCAGATTTCTGCTGTGGGATCTTTGACATCTGGTGCAAGATGTGGAAAACATGCAGCTCTGATCCATTACTAGAATCCCCGTCATTTATTACTGGTTTAAAGTTCAGGTGATTGGATAGTTCATGTTCAACTTGCCTGAATGATTATATCAACATGCATGGGAGAACAACAGTGGGAGATCAAACTTTGGCATCTCTTCCAACACCTCTGCCTTTTTTATGCTACACTTTGTAACATAATTTCATGCTGTGAACATGAAGGTGAAATAAGGCATATTTAAGAATCAGATAGTTACTGTTACTGTAGCTTAGTACAGAAAGACTGAAAGCAGACCACAGGAAAGAGCCTAAAATTGAAAGACAAAGAGCTGTGAAACAGAGCTAATGTTCAGAGCTGAATGTTCTCCATCTCTCTGGGAATGGATGCAGGTATGTAGATTTCAGGTATGTGATTGTATAAATATATAAAATCCACAGGCCAGCATATAATCGAATTATTAAATTATAGAGTGACTGTGTAAACTAAATGACGATGATGATGATGGTGATGATGAAGATGATGACAGAGTAATGTCATCAGGATAATCTCGGCATCCACTTGGAAATTTTGCCGAAATGGAAGGACCCTTAAATTAGAATATAATATTGAGTTTATCCTAAACTAACTAAAATGTTCGCCATTGTCTTCTCTTCTTTCTACTCTTAATGTATAATGTGTGTTTCAGCCACTTTGTCTGTTAAACTTAACTAAGCATTAACTAATGGATAAAAGAATCTCACTGACTTGCAACTCTATCTAAGTACGTAGGAAACACTGTCTGACTGTTTAGAAGGATTTAACCTTCCGTAAACAGCAAGTAAATGTGGCCATTGTGCTTGGTCCATGATGCTGTATAAAATATTGATGCACCTGCTTGGCTGTACACATTCATACACTGTTTCCACTGTGTATTGTTTTTTTTGTGTTTTTTTGTCAAAAACTTTGCTGTTATTTTGCATAATGATTGTGGAGTCACATGCAGGGACACTAAAACAGCAAAAAGACAAAGAAAACAACCCACTAATGGTCCTCTCTCATTTATTAAGTGACACAGTTTGGGTTTAGTCGATCAAACAGCAGCTATAGAGCTGTCTAACAGTTCTACATGAAATTAAATAGAAATAGCTTAATGTAGGCTACTTTTGCTATCTTGTATGTTGGGCTTCTACAATTAAGTATCCACTTATGTCATCAATATGAGATGCTTTTTACTTTTCAAGCCCTTACTAAATTCTCATGTTCCCTGACACTTGGATAGTTTGAACATCTACTTTTTTAAGCTTTATTTATTCAGTGTGGGTAATCTATGCACATTCCACCTGCCTCACACTGACACAGTTACACAATCATTTCTGGGACCTGCCTAGGTCGACCACAGTCATATCTGTTGATCACGGAGCAGCTTCAGTGCAGCAGTTTGGGTTTTGTTGCTCATTCACTTCCTGCAAAAATCAAGATCGAGTCAGCTATCTCCCAGTTATAAGATTGTTTCATTAACCTGTAGGCAGCTATATTCATAAATATCAATTCTTACTGGGGACTTCTGCAAATTCAACAGGGATACTTCTCTCTACAAGTTATTAACAAAAGCTGAATAACACACGGTAGTATAGGGCAGCTGTGACTGTGATACTGTAATTATGGTATATGTTTAAATTTCTTTTGATCACTTTTCTCTGACTGTGACACCTGTTCTTGCTTTGAAGACTTGTGTCTGGATTATTAGGTCAAACTATTTTTCTGCATTAAAACCAAATGTGGTATGCAACATGAGCAGATGTTGCCCGAATCCTAATACAAGATTTCCGGCCTTTTAAAACTGGTCATGATCACAATACATTCATTTTGTCAGTTATTATAAAAATGAAACACAATTTATTCTAAAATTTATAAAATCAGGGTTACGGTTTTTTCCTTATCTATAAATTATAATATACTGACTTAGGAAAGATTCATTTGTATTTATGTATACAAATGTTTGGTTGCAGTAGATGAACACAAGCATCGCATACATACTGTAAACATTTGATGATACTAAGTAAGTTGGTGTAACCATTAATATACCTTAGACCTCATATGAATAGGCTTCAAATACCAGGTCCATGTGAATTTGAATGCTGAAAACTAATGTTCCTTACTTTAATCCTACAGTAACAAAAGAACACCTAAGGAGGAAATCGGATGAACACTGTCCTAAAAATCCTGCAACCATCTGTACTTTACTTTTATGAAATTCTAGAGATGTCTTTGTGCATAAGCAGGAAAGCAAATCACAGAAAGATGGCGAGAGAAGGGGATGAAGACAGAGAGAGAATACTGTCTTTATTATGTATGATAGCACCAGCTTACTCACTGGGGTGATCTTTAAACATAATGAGAAGCACAGCATGTTGGGTCACCCCCTGATAAAAGCCTTTTAGAGAACATTGCATGTAATTGAATTCAAGAATTCATAGCTGTACATACTCATTGAACACAAGATCCGGGGCGAAGTAAAGCATCCTGCCATTGACGTTCTTATATGACCTCCATCCCAGGGCAAACACCATCACCCCCATCCATGAATGTTGAATGACAGTCATTTGGTCGTCCACATGAAGGTTTCTAAAACCTAAGGAGAAAGATTTTATATATATATATATAAATATATATATATATATATCCAGGTCTGTGAGCACAATCTTACCCAATATCTTTCTCATATCTGAGAAAAGTGATGAAAGACCACAAATTATATTGTTTGTCCTCCCTCTGTAACTCTACCATTTGTCTGTCCTGCTTTTGACCATCATTACTTTTGATTCATTTGTCAAAGCACTTTGTAAACTTTGTTTTTAAAAGGTGCTATATAAATAAAGTTCTTCTTATTATTATTATTATTATTATCATTATTATTATTATTATTATTATTATTATTATTATTATTATTATTATTATTATTAAATACAAAAGAGTAGTCACAGGTTTGGTAGTTCAAATGAGATGGAATACAATTCATTATTTCCTGACTTCATACTTTATTTAAAACTGCTGTGATCAGTGTCTTTTACATAATTATCACCTTAATGCAGTTCCCCTCAGCTCATATTTCAGCTAATTAATTTAGTTTTATGGATGCAACTTTACTGTTTTGATTTACTCTTCCAGCTCTCATCAATGCTGATTTACAGCAGGCAGCTGTTTTCAGGCAGTAATAGCTAGTGAACAAAGCAAAACATTTTGCTGCCAAAAAAGAGAAAAGACATTGCCCTCAGGAACTTACATTTATCAGGTGGATTTATCAGGAAATTGCTGATCATATTAAAATCTCAACCAGTGTCCTACCTGGCAATCCTTTCGCCCATTTGACCACTTTGACCAATTGTCTTTCTCCTAGCTCATTGAGGCTGGTGAGCAGGGTGGCCGCTGAGTCTGGTTGGCCATAGTCATGTCCCGCATTCACCACCTCTGGCTCAATGGCCTCCAGGATGTCGAGAAAGACCAGCTGGGAGTTCAAGTTCAGGCCTGATTTAGGAGAGATACTCTGGATGACCTCTGCAGCGTCCTGCACAGGATGATCCTCTTCAGGGTTTTTCTGTTGACCAATCTTCTTTAGTTTACGTGCTACAAACAAAAGAGACTCAAACCTGAGAATCAGTTCAGTTGTTAAAAGGTTACAACTTCAGCTGTGACAATGAATAAATATGCTATTTCGTAGCAAAGAAAGTTACAAATCAAACTGATCTTCAATTTCCAATCCACCTGACTGGAATTACAAGGCAAGAAAGGGATAAAAGTTGTAGTCAGACCATATTTTTTGCACATTGTTTAATCCCCTCAGTTCAGGTTTGACACATCTGATTGAATCTGATTGTAGAATCCAGCTGCTCTTGCTCTAAAGACTTGATGGATGATGGATTTTCTGTCTTTGATTTTGAGGTCTTTACTGCACACTTTACCTGTTACAGCTAAATGTGGGACCCAGAATGAATTGATGGAGGTTCATTCCTCAGGGTTTCCCTTTCAAAAATGGTCACAGTTATTCAGCTGATTTGATTCAAAATCAATCACTTAAATCCTCAGGTCATCATTGTTAAACAAGACAATGTGTCTGTATACACACTGTGGGTTATTGTTTTGTCCTCTGAGCATTAGAGGAAAATTGTCCAACCAAAACTTCTCTGTTGAAAATTAGTTCTACATTCTAAATCATCATTTAGAAATGTCTCCTACTGCAACTGTGGGTTTTAAATAAGCCTTTTAAGGGAAATACCAATTTTATCCAACAATACTCAATACTGATCTGCTAATAGCTTTGAAGATACTGAATGAAATCCTATTTGGAAGAACATCTCGGACCAGATGAGCCTCATCTTGTGGAGAGGCCTGTGGTCATCATGTGTGAGTCCTTGCAATACAGATGTAGAGTAGAGTCCTAAATAGATATCGTGTAACTACATAACTCAGTAAATCCTGCAGATTTTCATTATGTATATGATTCACAAAACATACAGAGATTAAAGACATTGAAATCTCAAAATAATACTGAATCTATATATAAAAACCTTACTCCCTCTTTTTAAGCAATGACAAAGCTACAATTACTTTCCTCAAAAATGCTGAAAACCCTGAGGCAGCTGCTCCATATGGCAACCTGCACCTATAAACTACAGTAAATTGGAGCTGGGTCTTTGATTTGGTGGCATGGACCGTGTACACTGAGCATAGGAATAATTATGTTCTGCCAAATACAATAGTTCTTTAACAGTCAGGTTTAGGATGGCTAACCATTTACTACACTCACTGACTGTTTTCTGTCCACATGTAACAGAACAGTGTCACTTCAACTCAGCCTGTTATTTCAGAATGACAGCTGTGCTGGAGTGTGAGTGACAGACACATACAAATGGTGAGTATGTGCTGAGTGCATTCAAGAACAGTTGTTGTCAAAGTGGGATGCTCAACAAAATCATAAAAAAAACATAATTTCATTATCCAATTCTTTGAAAATTAATGTATTTATCTTTAGGCAGTGAAAAAAACTATTAATTAAAATATGAGGCAACATATTTTTGAATCCCTTTTATCGGTGATGACTGACAGTAAAAAATCACTGTTAATTGCCATGCTATTGCCTTTTGTGTGGAGAACGTCTCATTAAAACTGTGGCCTGGCTTTTCAGTTCAGTCTGATAAATATTGAATTGCCAGTTATAGATACGACTTAAGTCTTTCTCAGAAGTAGCAAATTGCAGATTATATAAGAAGGATCATTTGCAAGTCTCACATTTCCATTCATGATCCAATAACAAACATTTGGAAGAAAAATGGTTAATTAAAAATTCCTCCCTGGGATTCTTGACTGTGACACAGACAGGCATCTGATCTTTGCAGAGTACAGTGTAAATATGTTGGGTTGAGCTAACCTTAAGATCCCCATGCTTGAGCTGGGGCCAATATACACAAGAGGAGATATCCAAATGATGGATTCAAGCACAGTCTTTGTTACACTCACATTAAGTCCAGAGGAACAATTAATTAGACGAGACACTCTCAACTTTGTGTATACAAACTCAGTGTATAGGTCAACCCGCACACTGGGCTGTATCTTACTTTGTTTCCAGTTAAAACTGACCTCCAGTGAATAAACTGTAGATTAATCCATTACAAGCCAATTTTCCCTCAAATCAAACTGCACATGTGAAATTTATTGGCCATTTTTTTCTCACTGTAGTCACATTTTTTGGTCCACCTTCCACCTTCCGTGCCAAGATCATAACTGCACAAAAAACACAACGTGGATGTGGATGTCATTATGACAGAAGCTCACTGATGTAAATTGTATTTCTGGGCAGGTGTGTGTGTGTGTGTGTGTGAGTGTGTGTGTGTGTGTGTGTGTGTGTGTGTGTGTGTGTGTGTGTGTTTGTGTGTGTGTTAGTGAGCACTGCATTTGACAGTCTGACAAAAGGAGGAAGAAGTGAGAGGAAATGGATAAACCTTCCAGTCCCTAATAGCTCAACACTCAAATGTGACATTTTCCAATAAGAATAACATAATTTTGAAATAAACTTATATGAGCTGTAAACAATAACATAATAACTACAGTGGGTAACATTTTACATTAGAGCTCCATATAGTAATGTAATAATGGGGTAATACCTTCATAATAATAGATAATCATGGGACGATACTGTTGTAATGAAAGACTGACATATGAAAGATTTCTTTTTACTATTGAGGTTAAGTTTGTGTTAGAATAATAATAATAATAATAATAATAATAAGGGTATTAATATGACACACATAATAATGGCAATCATGATGATAAACACCTGGAATTGTAACTGTAATATCCTGATTAATAATGGAGATGTCAAAATCTTATATATGATCATTTCAGTGAAATATCCATAATTCTTCATTTTTGGTGCATAAGCATAGCCAAAATCAAAACTATGACAAGATAAAATCTGAAAACAACTCATATTTGCTAAAACATTAGGGAGATTAATTGACTTAATTTAACTCCTAACACTGTCGACTTAGAGAAAAAGATGAGGAGTTTTTCACAGCTATAAGGGGAATGGTACTGAAGAGCAGGTTTGGAGGAAGCAATGAGATGGTCAATAGTTGAACAGGGTTCCAGGGTTACAGGAATTCTGAATTATAGCATAGCATCAGCTCCTCCAGTTGTTGATGAATTGTACGCTCAGCTTGACGGCGTTGTCTTTTCATGTTACGGGTGTGCTCATTTACCAAAGAGCATACCTGATTAAGCCAGACATGACAGATTAAAAGTCTCCTACGAGAGGATTAGGGAATTAAAACAGGTTCATTTGAGCTCAGCTGACACATTTACTGGAAGTTACTGAATTTATAAAACATGATTGATGAAAATTGAGCTGAATCAAAGTTGAGGTGTCAAAAGCAAGGCCCATACAGTCTGAAAAGAACAGACTGTTATTATTATTACTCATAGTAATTATGAGAGCTAACGTATGGCCTTTGTTTATGTATATGGCCAAAGACGTAAAATTAAAAGCACTAATCAGTCACTTCCGCTGACTAAAGGTACATTTCTTGCTACTACCTCTGTAATCTCATAGTATTACCCCAGTATTATTCTGGAGGACCTCTGTACTGAGTCATTACTGCTACACAAGCATTTAAGCATTTAAGACAGTGATGCCCCTCAATCTTGAACAGATGCAAGATTCAGAGATTTCAATGCATTTCTTCAGACTGTCCAAACTATTAGGAGTGAAACAAATAACAGTGATCTAATGATTTAATTGATGTAACTGCCAATATACTGTATTTGTCATTTTATAATAAATTAAGCATAGACCTCTCTTTTTCTCTCAGTATTTCATGACTTTACCTTGAAGTACTTTGAGTAAAAATCTTCTGGGATGATAAAACCAAATGTATAAATTTTTTGCCTCCACTGCTACAAATTATTGTCATAAATTTTCCTGTGAAATGCCGCGAGTGAATTACATGTCCATGATGAGAACATAAGTGAAAGGATCTTTTTAGCCACAACTAGAAAAGGTGTGCCTTTTTACTGACAATCACAGCATTAGATCACATTTTCTCTCCATGGGTTTGTCAGTGACTGGTGGTGAAATTACCAGCATGTCTGCTACTTTAATTCACATGTCTCATGTCAGCTTTGTGCTTCCCATACAATTTTCACCGTTAACAGAATGAGAAAATGGAAGAGAGTGAAAATTGAACACAAGACTAAAATTAGTCCACTACATGTCAATCTTTACAGCCTAATATGACGAACAGGTCTGGGTGACAGTAAGAAGAAGTGAATGGAAGAGGTCTAAATTGCATGGTAGCTCAGTCAGGGGCTTGATTATCAGTAACATCCCCTATTGTGATGATGCTGCAATTGGAGAGAGTCAGCTAAGATGTGCAGTGAAGAGAGAATAAAGTACTTGGTCTTGGAAAACCATTAATACTTTCACTTTCAGGACTACACTTTCTCTGTTGTATGCTTTGTCCATACAGTATGTAATATACTGTGTTTATTATAGTCTACATTGCACAAATGTATATATCTTAATGTATATTCATAGTGTAGTGCATATGTCTGAAGGGAAATACAACTGATGATAGAAAAAAATAGCTTGTGATTAGTAATGCTATAATAAACTGCAGGAATAAAATAAATGATAATTGTTTCTTTAAACGATTTTAGTACATGAATCCACCCTACCTCCGAGAGTCATTCCAGCTTCAAAGCACTTTTTCAGCCGACAAGACGGACAATTCTTTCTTCTTAGCTTATCAATAGTACAGTCATTTTTGCTTGCACACAGGTATTTCTGTTTGCCTGCATGGACAGAGAAACCACAGATACCACAGTGACTGAAATGTAAAACACTGTATATATCATTCCGAATTAAAGAAAAGAAAACAGATTTAGTTTCTGAATATTTGTATCAAATTGTAAAAGAAATAATAATAATATGTTAAACAAACAGTGAGGATACATGGGGAGGGGGCAAACTCCCAGTCCAAGTTAGACCGTTTAGCTTTTTACCTTCCGCAGCTCTTTTGAAGAAAACCTTGCAGCTGCCACAGGTGAGTGCACCATAATGGCAGCCGGATGCCTCGTCTGAACAGATCAGGCACATCCTCTGTGGTGGGAAGAAGAACTCCATGGGGAACAGGTGCTCTCTGCCAGCCTCAAGCCTGCAGTCAAACACATGAAACCGGACATTTACAGACCATGAACAGCTATTGAACATGCGGTGTGATCAAACAAATTGCTTCTACTGATTACTGACATTTGATTGTTTGTCATAATAGTACTGCATATTCATATATTTTTACTACTAATACTGTTTTAATAATTCACTGGTTTTGTTTTAGTGTCTTGTTTTTTGTAACTTTAATATCTTGTGAAACTAATAGTCATTTGGGATAAAAATTAACCTTGAACTTAACAAGTCCATAATTACTTTTTACTCATTACATTCTGTCCAAAATGGAACCACAAAGCAGTTAATATTCACTCCCCAGAACCATGCTGCAGCCTCTCACTGTGTGAGTTAAGGAGGGCAGAGGCTGTGATGACTTAGGATGGTGTGGGAAAGATTTGAACGCCAACACCACAGCCAAGCAGGGGGTGGGGGGAGCCATGAAGGGCGTCCAGCCTCAGCCTTGAACACTGAGAGAATGGAATAGGCAGAGACATAACGTTGCCTCTGTGACGTGCAACTCAGATAGCAAGGTTTGGTGTAAAAGTGATGAAAATGAAGCTTAAATGAAGACCCTCTGCTGTGTCCTGATTGATTTTAAGTGACAGAGGAAAAAATGATTTATATAAACTGGGAAATTGAAATTACAAGACAAAATCTAAATGAATCACAATATAGATCTAGTCCTTAAGTTGTTCAGTATGTATGAAAGGTCTCTCTTTTTCAATTTTAATTCCTGCATGACAGTAAACTATGAAACCTGTAATTATCATTCTTTAGAATGACGCCTAGTCAATGCTGTGATTGAAATAATGTGGTAGGTTAAACAGGGAGAGTTGAGGTGATGAATGGTGACACTGAATTCTTATGTGGTCTGGATCCATCAGCAATAAATGTGAAAAAAACCCTCTGAGGGCACAGATCAACAAAGGCAACTGCTAACAATACACAGTGCAACTACTACAGGTTAAAACAGATTGATTATATTTAACTGTAGGGTGATACTGTATGTCACAATTCTATAACCCACCTGACTAAAACATTACTTCCATAATAGTGTATAACCTCTAATATGTTTTTAATAACTTACTGCTCCAGCTTCTTAGTAGTTTTAAATACAGTGTAGCTCACAGAACTGTTTCTACTTTGAAAAAATTTACTTGTAGAACAAGGTGATAAAATGTGTTTTTTAAATACAGTGTGGCAGGTTGTGACCTTTAAAACCAAAAGATTATAGTGTCCTCTTCCACTTTTAGAAAAAAGCAAAAGATCAATCAGTATTATTCATATTTTGTAAAGACCTAAGCAGTTGTCCCATTAAACAATTGCAAGATTCAAAATTGTGCAGTGTATACATCATTTGAACAATATCAATATTTAATCAGGTGGACTCATCAAAATCAACATAACTTTTTCAAAAGATCAGAGAAGAACAAAAAAACAAACTATAAACATGGTCTAATTAACCCAGACATAATGACTAGAAAATCTGACTTTAAACATCAGTTGTTGTTTGTTCCATTGTACAACAATTTGTCAACTGCATCATTTTGTGTGGAGTAACAACACACACACAACAGTCCTGTGAGTATGTATGTCTATGTATGAATGTCTGGGAGTATGTACGGATGAAAGATACTGGTGTAGTTGTAAGAGTAGAGCTTCACAGATGGATCATATCTGATATAGTTTTTATGTTATTACTCTTTTTAAATGCCATGTTTTTTATTATCTGTTATATTATTATATTATTATATGATATTATTATTATATTTCCTGTCCGGGTTTGAGAATATGAATATTAATTCTTACTTTACTTGTATGGTTGAAAGACCTCTTAACATATGGCCTTAAATCCTACCTATTTTTTCATCTTTGATGAGATGCACTTTGGTGTAGTACCTGATTTGTTTACACTGTGATCATTGTAATGTTAACCCACACATTTGGAGTGCAAGAGACACTCGATATATTGTATACTTGTACATATTCTATTTTATTTATTTTAATTATTATTATTATTTATTATTATTATTATTTATTATTATTGTATCACAAATATATACATCATAAAATCAAATGAAATACTTTGCAGAAACACAGATATTCACTGACCATATACAGGTAAATGCCTCCCATTACAATTACATCAGACTGTTACTGGAACAGTTTGGTCAAAACATAAGCGCAATTTTCTAATTTACAAAAACAGAATGATCTTTTGTATGAGTCTAATGTTTTCTAACTATAAAGATAAGTAAAAGCTATTATCCGTGCGCAATACTGTTTGATTGATGCAGCAAAAGATTAGGATTAATGTTACTATATATACTATTCTTCTGTTATGATGAATGGGCCAATCCCATGATTTGCTTCAGATTGTTATTTACTTGCCTCATTTCACTCTGTCATTTGCTAAACTAATGCACATTCATAAAAAAATTGAAGTTGAAGTAAAAATGTGAACTTGGAAACTGTGCTTACTCTAGCCATGTAGTTCAACTAACATCTGTTTTCACTCTTTTGTGAGGTAACAGTATGCAGTTCCTCATTGGTCAGGGGAATACAGGTCGGGTGAGCAGGACGTATTTTGGCCCATGTAAGGAATTGTGGACAGGTCCAATGTATTGTAAGCATAAATATCATCACTGTACTTATTAGCCACTACTGTAGATTTCTCGCTGCAGTTTTCACTGTTTATTATATGTAAGTGCTTTGCTCACCGCCCATTGTGGATCTTCACTTCATTCCAAGTCCAAATCTGAGCTATACAAAATCCTGCTCTTTGACCTTTTAACATCTGTTGTCTCTTTGTGTGACAATTCTAATAAAATGCTTAAGTAAAGCCAGAATTATTTGGTCAAACAATTCCAGACCCTCTAAGTTTGAAATCATGATTATTACATTTGCAGAGTGCCGGAAACTGTACACAAAAAAACAGGTGATTAAAAAACAGAACTCATAATAAACCATCACATCATTAAAAACTATTTTTAACATTAAAATGTTTAATGATGGTCCTCATGACCAGAATTACAATTTTAACTACCATTTGTTGCAAAAACATGTAAAACATATTCATGTTTTCTCAGATGGCACCGTACGCTATACTCTTGATATTCCGCACATTCAGAGCAGGTGAAACTGCAGCAGACATTTCTGTCCACAGCACTATTTTTTTTTTTTCAAATAATTATGAGGAACAAAGTCTTATGAGGGCAAACCCAGCAGCAGAAACAAGAAGTGCTCATTCAGGCCAGAAGAGATATTTTAACTATTTGGTGACAGATAAAGTTCAGCAGACAGACCGTTGAAGCAATACCCCTCCTAATCATCATCATCATCATCAAAAAAAAAAGAGAGAAACTCATAGTAGCTACAGTCTTAAGTTGATATTCCCTGTTTCAACTGATTTTTCTGATTAGGCCTCCAACAATGGCACTTCAGTACAGAACTGCCTTGATGCATGTTCCTCTTCTGCATTTCCCCCAAAAGTGTTAGTGTTCCATTTATTCCCATCAAAGTCTCTGTCCTTGTAGCAGCGTAATTCTATAACAATCATGCACCACGGAGGGTACAGTAATGAACCATGTCTAAATCAGTTAAAAGACACTTTAAATAGAAAAAAACAAAAAAACAAAGCAGCTGTTTGATAATGTGAATACACATTACAGAGAATAACTCAGAGTAACTTTTGAGATAATTTCGCCGAGTAAAACTCAGATCTGGAGCAAGCATCACATCAAAGATCTGATCTGGGTTTTATTCAGTAACGTTCAGATAATTCAGTAAACTAGCCTCTTGGAACAGACGCAAGGACCTGAGGTGATAAGCAAGAGCAGACCTAAAGCTCACTGTACTCCAAGGTCTTTATGCTTGTGTACTTGCGGACATCCTGCTGAGCTAGTAGTCTAAACTGCATAACCTGTCTGAAACCAGTTTGGTCTGACTTAGGACCCCTGTCACAGATCAATCGTCTTTCTCCCACTGTATTTCATATCGCCATCTACAGTCAAAGAATTTGATCATGGCTAATTATGTAAAAATAAAATATAAAAAAGATTTGGCATGGTATGTTTAAAACTTTGTGTCTTTACTATTCAGAGCAAATTAAGTTAGATTCCTGCTCAGTAGGTCAGGAAGACCATGCAGCCATACCTCCTCTCAGCGGGATGAGAAGATGGACAGCTCCTTGTGGGGTTTTACATCTGCTTGTCCTCACTTTTAAGAACCTCTCTGATTTATGCTTCCTCTGCCTTACTGTACCTGGTTTAATGATTCACTGCACAGATACTCTTGTTTTGAAAGGACTGCGCTCAAACAGCCAAAGATGCTGGTGTAAAACAATGCTCTCAATCATTCACCACCAGCCCAAAGAAATCACACAGTTGGAGAAAAGACATGCTAACGTCAGCCGTGTGACACTTCTGTGTCAGTGTCAGTCAACATGTCCACTCTGTGTCCTTTGTATTCCATCAGTTCAGACTTAAGAGCTAAAAATGAGTGTGGAACTTTTGGAGAAAATCATACTATTATTAACTAACATATACAATTGTCACAAAACTATAAAACTTGCCTACACTTACAAAAAAAAAACATTGCTTGCTTTGCTGTAGTTTCATTCCATGTGCATTCTGTGTAGTCATGTCTATTTATGAACTGAATCCCACAAATTCAGTGATTATATTCTCTTACAAGGAAACTTTATTTATACTCAAAGAAAAGCCATAAATCACCTTTCAGTGAGGCAGTTTTTCCCTGCAGAGCTGTTCAAGAATAGAGTTACTCTCTCCATTCACGTTCGAATGATAATCAGGTGTCAGAAATCAATATTAGTTGTTTGATGAGGGAGACCAGAAAAGCAATATAGAAGCTGTTTTATGATATGACAAAAAAAGAACATGGGATTTTATGTACAAATGAACAAATCTTATTTTTTGATTTTTTGATTTTTTCTTTTTACAGTGTTGACACTCATTAAGAATATTTCTAATGGGAAAAGTCCTTAAATTAAATAAAAGTGTCAGTGGAAAATATCATTTAATAAGGGATGAGAGACTTTTTCATTTTCTAACAGTTTAAATAGAAAAACCTAAAATCAGCTATGGTTGCAGGTCTATCCGATGAATGAAATGACAAGTATGTGAACCAGACAAATATATTCCTACTTCTTTTTAAAATGCATTATTACACCAGTTTGATGAGCAAAATTTCCCTCATGCTGTCATTGAAAGCAGCCAAAATCCTAAAATACACTTTTATCTCCGTAGTAGTTTAAATCTGTTCAGGTTAAAGATTTCTTCTAAAATACATCTATTCCTGTGATGAAAGAAACTGTTTTGTTGCTGGCCAGATGATTGTCAAGCTACACTTTGAGCTATTTGATGAGGTGGATTCTCCACAGACAGCACACACTCTCCTCACTCATGACTGGGGTTAGTTTAAGGTCAAATTGTAGATTTTCATTTCATTGGGCTCAGACAGTCATTGGTCATTTCTGGTGGATTATCTTCAGGAATCAGAGCTTACTAAACATTATTAATAATATATATAATAATAATAATAGTAATAATAATAATAATAATAATAATAATAGTTATTATTATTATTATTATTATTATTATTATTATTATTATTATTATTATTGTCATTATTATTTACCTAGTGTCGTTATAGGTGACATCCAGCCATTCTCCGACTTCAGTCTTCAGGTAGCTGGAGTTGGGATAGGGCGGCCTCAGCATCCTGCCTGGGTACCACTGCTCAGAGCGCATGACGCTCCTCTCATATGGATTACATATGAACGCAGTGTTGGCTCCTGTGCTGTGCGCGTTCATGCAGTGCCTCGAACCCCAAAACTGAGAGTTGTACTTCTCATTAAAGGTGTAATCACTGGTCCACAACGCCCCGGCAGGTTCACCGTCCTCAGATTTGACTTTGACGTTGTATTGTTCTGGCTGATAACCAACGAACTTGTTCTCCATGGCTTCCACAGAGTCTCTCGCCTCTTCATCGGGGGGTTTGAAGACTCGACACGGCCGTGTCGCCGTCTGGCCGAAGTGTGCCAAGCTGACTGGCGCGGACCGCACGTAAGGGCAAGAGGCAGTACGCGCTGAAGTTATGTCATCAGCCTCGCACAGTGTGAAGTTTTGCTCATCCACAGATGTCCGAGTGGACGTGAAGTGGTGCAAAGGCGCAGCAGTGTCAGAACTTTTGAACACTTTCACCAGTTGCTCCTGCCCGGGCAGGGGCCGGTCATCTCTGTCGGGGCACCTGTACTCGGTGGCGGCAGCCTGGGCTCCAGCATAGTTGATAGGCATGGCTCCAACTCCGAATACATTATCTCTGTGGTCACTTGCAGCACACGGGGGGAGAGCAGCGTCCATATCGCTCGTGTCGTTCGACTCCATGGCCAGACCCAGCGACACGGACACAGCTTTACAGAGCTCCCTGGCTGTTTCTGAGATTGTGGCGCAAGCAGAAAAAGACGGGCTATCGCCCACACGGCACCCAGCGTTTACCAACTCCTGGGGAACAGCACAGCAGTGTTTTTCCATGGCACAGACTTGCGGAATTATGTGTCCGGATCCGTAAATGTTTGCGTCTGCATTGTCGGAGTCTTTCAGTCTGCCAACACCAGGTCCTGTTGAGTTTTTGATGAAATAAACTCGACTTTCTTCAGTTTTTAGGGACATACTGGGAGCGCTCACAAAGCCGCCTGTTTTTATTTTCTCCCCCTCTGGACAAATTCTGCTACAAGATAACTGTCGGCTAGTTTGGCTCATTTCCCAGAAAGTGTTCACTTGGCCAGGAAAGCGAACTTTGCACGGCAGAAGTCTCGACAGGTCCCAGTGGTTGTTACTGCTCAGCCAACACTCCCGATGTGCAAATCGTTTTGGTAAAGGTCCTGGGAGAGCCACAGGAGTCATAAACTCCTCCTAAACAGAGATCTTCATAGTCAGAGGCGCTCAAGTTCACTTTGATAAAATCCTGAATTCAGGATGTGACTGTCTGTCAAACACTCACTGTAATAAAAGCTGGGCGTTACTTTGGCAATTTTAAAAAGATTATAAAAGATTATATGAAGGAAGATGGGAATTCACATTTACCACACCAAAGCCCTCATTTATGCTTATTTTATGTCCAGCTGTGTGTGTGCGTGCGTGCGTGCGTGCGTGCGTGTGTGTGTGTGTGATTTATTTGCTTTATTGGGATGATTTCTTCGGGCTTCCCTACTTCACGTTACATTTCATTCATAATAATGATAAAAAACAACAATGATGATAATAATATTAATGACAAAAATAATAATAATAATAATAATAATAATAATAATATTTTTTTACAGGATTAATAGAAAATCGATCGTAGAGGTTAACCCTTATTTGTTTTCCTGATGCCTTTATGCCTCCATGTTGGTAAATAAATCCTTTGTACACATTAACTAGATGGACCTCTCAATAACACCTTACCAAAATTACTGGTTCAAAAGGACATATTTTTTTATTTCGTGGTTTTCATCAGAGAATGAGGAGGTTAAATTTCAAACAGGCAAACAGGTACACTATGTAATAATGAGTAACACATAGAAATGTTTGACAGAGCCAACCTTCAGCCCTGTTTGTTGACCTCCTGTCATACTCCATCCACCCACCAGAGGTCCCCAGACTGATCCACCTGCTCACCTGTTTTCACATTTCCAATCACTGGAACTTTCCCACCTACCAACTCACCTGTTCCTCATTTCCCTCATCTACCCTCAGATATTTATACCAGCCCATTTTCCCCAGTCAGTTTCCAGGATGTAATGCACAAGCAGCTTAGAAATCCTATTGCACCATGAAAACAAGACCACGATGTAAACAGTAATGTCTCTAAAATGCCAGAGGCAGGGATGTGTTGGTTGTCAGGTTTCCCACCCACCCAGAGTAAAATGAGTTCACTCACACTACTGAGAGGTACCACTGATGAATGTGTCTAAATAGAGTTGCATGTTTAACAGGTAAAACAGCATGAAATGATGCATAGAGGCAAATGACAAAGCAGGATTCATAACCTTGTCAGCATGGTGTGACTGCCCTCCTTCCTGAATATGAGAATGCCTAATTCAGGTTGAGAGATAGCAGGAAGGTTTATGTATATGTTTAGCTAACAAGCTCTATCCTACTACAATAACATTTACCTTACTATTCCTACATAGGCTAAAAAAGAATGTGAACACAATAGAAACCAAACTGTTATAAGCTTGACTCTTGGTCCATTAGGAGTATTTGTCGCCCTGCAGCTCTTGGCAGCCACAGACATCAGTCCACCCCAATGAAATGAGTCATGTTTGTTGATTTATGGTACTCTAAACACAAGGACAAGCCAAGGCACTGACACTTGTTCCACTTCTCTTAAGCGCAGTCTGTACTGTCAAATTCTTTTTTCAAATGATCATTGCATCACACGACTGATGAAGCTTCAAGCGTAACTGATGCTCTTGTAGGGTCTTTTCCAAAGTTGGTTAAATTGTTAGTTAGAGGACAAGTTGAAACCCAGCTATGTGAAATGACCAAAGTACTGTAAATTTTCACTGTCAAATAATTTATGCATCTGTTTGGACAATATTTGAACATCATCATCATCATCATCATGAACAGTATGTAGCCTTCTGATAGACCCACTGTGCACACAGGTACAAACATGGGCATTTACCAGTCAAAGAAGATCAAAATGCTACTGAGCTGCATGGTGGGAAATGTAGGATCCAGCAGTTCTGGGCTTGACCCATTCAAGGGAACAAAAGTCAGGACTCTTTTTTTGTGAAACTAGTCATTCACTAGCCATGATGTTTAGCTCAGTAACGCGTCCTGATTTGTGGAGACTGACATAATATATATGTGTATATATATTTATATGTATATGTACATATGTATGTACAGTGGGGAGAACAAGTATTTGATACACTGCCGATTTTGCAGGTTTTCCCACTTACAAAGCATGTAGAGGTCTGTAATTTTTATCATAGGTACACTTCAACTGTGAGAGATGGAATCTAAAACAAAAATCCAGAAAATCACATTGTATGATTTTTAAATAATTAATTTGCATTTTATTGCATAACATACGTATTTGATCACCTACCAACCATTCTGGCTTTCACAGACCTGTTAATTCTTCTTTAAGAAGCCCTCCTGTTCTCCACTCATTACCTGTATTAACTGCACCTGTTTGAACTTGTTACCTGTATAAAAGACACCTGTCCACACACTCAATCAAACAGACTACAACCTCTCCACAATGGCCAAGACCAGAGAGCTGTGTAAGGACATCAGGGATCAAATTGTAGACCTGCACAAGGCTGGGATGGGCTACAGGACCATAGGCAAGCAGCTTGGTGAGAGGGCAACAACTGTTGGCGCAATTATTAGAAAATGGAAGAAGTTCAAGATGACGGTCAGTCTCCCTCGGTCTGGGGCTCCATGCAAGATCTCACCTCGTGGGGCATTAATGATCATGAGGAAGGTGAGGGATCAGCCCAGAACTACACGGCAGGACCTGGTCAATGACCTGAAGAGAGCTGGGACCACAGTCTCAAAGAAAACCATTAGTAACACACAACGCCATCATGGATTAAAATCCTGCAGCACATGCAAGGTCCCCCTGCTCAAGCCAGCGCATGTCCAGGCCCGTCTGAAGTTTGCCAATGACCATCTGGATGATCCAGAGGAGGAATGGGAGAAGGTCATGTGGTCTGATGAGACAAAAATAGAGCTTTTTGGTCTAAACTCCACTCGCCATGTTTGGAGGAAGAAGAAGGATGAGTACAACCCCAAGAACACCATCCCAACCGTGAAGCATGGAGGTGGAAACATCATTCTTTGGGGATGCTTTTCTGCAAAGGGGACAGGACAACTGCACCGTATTGAGGGGAGGATGGATGGGGCCATGTATCGCAAGATCTTGGCCAACAACCTCCTTCCCTCAGTAAGAGCATTGAAGATGGGTCGTAGCTGGGTCTTCCAGCATGACAACAACCCGAAACACACAGCCAGGGCAACTAAGGAGTGGCTCCGTAAGAAGCATCTCAAGGTCCTGGAGTGGCCTAGCCAGTCTCCAGACCTGAACCCAATAGAAAATCTTTGGAGGGAGCTGAAAGTCCGTATTGCCCAGCGACAGCCCCGAAACCTGAAGGATCTGGAGAAGATCTGTATGGAGGAGTGGGCCAAAATCCCTGCTGCAGTGTGTGCAGACCTGGTCAAGAACTACACGAAACGTCTGATCTCTGTAATTGCAAACAAAGGTTTCTGTACCAAATATTAAGTTCTGTTTTTCTGATGTATCAAATACTTATGTCATGCAATAAAATGCAAATTAATTACTTAAAAATCATACAATGTGATTTTCTGGATTTTTGTTTTAGATTCCGTCACTCACAGTTGACGAGTACCTATGATAAAAATTACAGACCTCTACATGCTTTGTAAGTGGGAAAACCTGCAAAATCGGCAGTGTATCAAATACTTGTTCTCCCCACTTGTATGTATTTGATGATGTTGAGCTCCCATGCTGGTGTTTAGTCCATACAAGTGATACCTGTTATATAACGGCTGGCAGGCTGTTGATGCTGGTAATCGTCTGGATGTTGATGGATATGGTAATACAGTGAACTAATCGTCACCTGAGCCCCCTCATTCATCCCTCAGTAAAGGCCAAGATGACTCAAGGCCTTCACAGTATGTATTTATCCAGCAGCACTACCTCTAACATCATGCCTTGAATGCCCGCTATGCACATAAAATATATTTAGATTTACCAAAGCGCTGATCTAAGCATATCGCACTTGGCAATTAGTATAACAGTTTTGCTCTAACAAATAATGTTTTTAACATTGACATTGTTGTTCTGTCACCCTCTAACTGTCTTGGTACACAGTACATTTATTATTTAACAAATTAACACAGTTGGTTTCTTGGGTGAGGTGAGGTGTTGAGTTTTAAATTACAATTTTAACAAAGTGTTCATGTGCCCTAAAGAGGAATTTGTGTGTGTTGCTGTGTCAGTACATAAAATAAAATAGGTTAATCAAATGATCCAACACCAAATAATAGCGACATCTTACATTGAATGAATATCCAGTACCTAATAAGTTATAATTCATCTATGTTTGAAAGGATATACCATTAAATGGTGAACTGTGTTCATACACAACTCTTTAACATTACTTTTGGAAATGCTGTGTGGATTTTGTTTTTTAATATATGTATAAAACTGTGCACCGTGCACCTATTGTATTGTTCCTACATTTTGAAATGGGGTTGTGATAAGAATTGTAAAACAGTGCTGGATTAACTCCAGCATTAATCGTAGCTTCCAGCGTTAACAGAGTAAACAGCATGTTACAGGTTCTGTTGCTCATTTCAGGGACAGAAGAGAAATCTCATGCCAAAGTTTTTATGTTCCATTTATGTTCCATTTAATTCCAACAACCTAGTCTTACCATCAAAGTGAATGAATGTTGCATCTTACACATTTGGAAAATGTAAACTAACAGCTTTAGAAAATTCACAGAAAATACTACTTTTTGTGAATACTAAGACCCTGTGTTTTCTACTGTATATCATAAATAACTTACCTGTGACTTGAAGTGCATTATAAGTGAGCCAGACTAAAGACTGCGCTGTGTCCTTGGTGCTGTGAATTAGGTTTGACACTACTCCTGATAGTGGATCTGGGGGTTGTTTTTCTCATAAGGTTGAGTGCTGATCTTAACTTCTCTTAAAGTGTGGCCTTCACAGAGTTTTTTTTATCTTCCTTATCTGACCATTTCACCCAGTGCCAGCTGGGAGAAGATGACTCAGTTTGGGAAGCAGCCTTCTGTCACTTTGACACAATGGCCGTTCTTTCTACATGAGCAGGGCCTTAGTGCTGGTGCTGTGTGTCTCTTGAAATATGCTGGCACTTGTCCTGCAGCTCTCCCTTAAAATGTTCAAGGCTTCTGATCACTGATGAAACCCTTCAAATGGCGTCAACATCAGGACTCCATGTCTGGT